ATAAAACTCGTTATCAGTTGGTTATTAAGACTATTTTTCCCTTTTCGCCTCTCTAACACCGCGTCACGTTAAGATACAATTCTGAATAATAGCTCATTATAAAGAGGATGAAATGCTGCACATTTCCATCAGTTACAGTATCCAGACAAGATTTTTAGTTTCTCAGATATTCTAATCCAAATTCATAAACATTTCAAAAATTCACTGGTGTGCTTAAAGTGGAAAAGAGCCAAAATCTTTGTTGTACGAGTAATGGTTTACTGTTACAAGCTGTGCCACTCATTCTGTTAGGACATAGAGTCCTGTTTCCCTCATCAATTTGGCTGAACTGAAAGTCTCGTATGCGGTACATGCAATGACGTCCAGCTTCGAGTTATTTGGTTCGCCGCGTCTAGAACATACATCAACCTTAACTGTGTACCTGGAGCTTAGTACGGAAGTAGACGTACCAAGTAAGTAGCTTTGCTACCCGGTAGTCCCGAAGAACTCATGTAGCAGATAGACGTGACCTAGTGTTGGGAAAGTACTATCTCAGGATGACCTGTTTTCAGGTTTTGAAATCCTAGAGTCTGAATCGGCCTCTTTTCCGGTAAAACCGTAGAACATTCTCTCTTCATTTAAAATTTGAAGTAATTTCTCGCAGCAGTAGATCGATAGGAATCCCTTCTGCTAGGACTTGCACCGCCTCATGAGGCACAGGCCTATATGCACTGGTTCCCTGCAGCAGAGATGTCCTTTCAATGCCGCCAGTCTGCGCTTCTGGAGAAATGAAAGATTCTAGTAACAGGGAGGGAATGCATATCAAATCGATGTTTTTGTAAAAGTTGGGTTTTATTTTATCATAACACCTAGGACTCCATCTGGACAAACGTCTAACTTGGAATCCTCATATCAGACTGAAACGACAAGAAACAGCTCGACGTTTCCGACTACTTCAACACTTACTAGACAATCGCTCTAACCTTCCAATTAATTATAAGACTCATTTACATGACTATAATAAGGCCTATTTGGACTTACGGAGTTGAGCTATGGGGCTCCACCAAACCTTCGAATTCCTCTCGTCTCCAATCCTTCGTAAAATCCTCAATGCTCCTTACTTTGTTACAAATAAAATTATCCATAATGACCTTAATGTTCTTTATGTATCAGATTTGGCCTAATCCAGATATCTGTCCTGCCATAATAAACTTCATAACCATCCCAACCATCTTGTTTCTAACCTTGCTTCCCATTTAATTCCTGATAACCCTCCGAGGCGTCTGAAAAGAAGATGGCCACGTGATCTTCTAATATGGACATATTATTAGAGTGCTACCAATGGGTAGTTTCTCAACATGTGTTTCATGTCATTATATCCATGTGCGAATTTACCAGATGTATTTTTTGTATACAGTTGTAAATATCATATAAATAAATAAATAAAAAAAATTATCATAACACTCCCGGTTCTGAATGTCACCTATATATCTATCTACCTTAATGGCTCTACAACCCTTAGTGGGTCCTAGCCTTCTCAACGAGCTTCCGCCTAATTTCTCTATTCTGTGCGGCCGCTTTCCAATTTCCGACTCCCATTAAGGCTCTAGCGTCACCCGCCACACCATCTGCTCATCTCAATCTCTGCCAGTATAGTGTAATGTTTCTTCAAGCACTCTTATCGGAATTTCAGACCTCTCCGTCCGAGCTATGTGTCCTGCCCAACTCAGTCTTCCTAATTTTATCATTCTTGTCACATTAGGTCCATTAAACAATTCGTAGACCTTTCTATTCTTCCGAATTCTCCAATCCAGTCCCTTCTTTACAGGGCTAAATATTCTTCTAATGATTTTCCTTTCAAAGACCAGAAGGTTTTTTTCGTCATTTTTGGCTAAGGTCCATGTTTGGCTACCGTAAGAACTGGCCGGATAAGCGTTTTATAGAGCTGTTGGTGGTTGAATGCCACCTGGTTACGTGTAATAATGTAAGGTGGCGGTGTTCCGAATCTCTTGCAGTCGTTTTTATTAGATGTCTCACTAAGTGACTTCTCACCAATCTCTTACATGGTCATCCGTGTCACATGCTTGGTCTTATTTACATTTGTTTTTAATAAAATGAAAATACTTTTGTGTTCAGGCAACTTTTCAGACCCATATTTGTTTGGCCGATGAGTGTGTCCATTTCGCTCAAACGCCTAATGAGGGTATCCGTTTTGTACAAACTATTTAAGTTTAATATTTACTCTTGATCTTCAGCTTTACTACTGCAGTGATAAATATATCGACAAGTGCTAAAACTTGTCTTGAGTTCTTTGAGGCCTTTCTGCCTCCATAAGATACAGGTATCTCATTCCAGGTTTCGCCACGGAGTTCTTGCCACGCCACTAATTAGTATAAGGTTTAACGAAGATGAAAAGGAATGAATCTGAAAGTGGAATGCGAATAGAGATATCGCTGTATTTATAGATATAATATATTTTTTTCTATTTTATGGAATTTCTCTATTATGGTCACTTACCCATTGTGCCCGTTTGCCTGCTGTTAACTTCATGTTGGGACAAATCACCATCTCTCAGTTCCAATCTGACAGCGTACTTCCCATCTATTCCCTCGAGTTCATGAACTGTGACAAATCATTCAAGATCCATGGATTATGGCTGTTTAGAGTCAGTAAGTTCACGAGGACCTATATTTCCTTCATTGACTTTCCATGGACCAAACCTGATAGTTTCTGACATTCTGAAAAATCACATCGCTATTCTCGTTTATACGGGGGTCATCTTTTTCTCGAATTTCAAGAGTTCCATTTTCTTCCACATTTGGTAGCTCGTAAGTGACATGTTCCTCTTATCTTCATTCATGTTCTTTCCTTAATCACGAGGTTGTGGCAAACGTAAATGGTAACATGAATGGAAACGATGTTCAATAGAATTTGCACAAAATAAACAAGGTATTCTTCTTGGGGATTCCCTCTGCTGCAGTATAGCATAAGGAGCTTTCTAAACAAGAAAGTAAAATATAAAAAGGAGATAGGATTGGAAATATTTCGGAAGTTTTGAAATGAATAAATAAAATAAAATTTATAGATAACATTTGAAATGAAATGAAAATAGATTTTTATTATCCTGGGACTGTTGTCCCTTTAGGACAAATTATAGATACAGAGAAAATGCCTGTGAGGCCATAAAATAAAATTAAATATTTAAAATTCTCATTAAAATTAAAATATTTTAAGAAAATTAAAACAAAAACACTAAATATGTACAGATATATATAGATTTATAATATGCAAACATATGGAAATAAAATAATATAAATAAACATGTCTGGGAGAACTTAAAAAGCTCTGTCATCTTCTTTTCTTTGCCAGTCGGGTTGGGAAAGAAGTACGTGCTTAAAAAGAAGGGATTTAAATGAGAAAACTGTTGCGCATGTTGGACATCGGAAGATATGGTATTCCAGATGGAGACGGCTTGAATTATAAAGGATTTGTCAAACACAGCAGTTCAGTAAGGAGGTGGTTAGAGGTCAGAAGTACGGGATCTAGTGGGACGGAATTGAATGGAATATTTAAATTGTAGGCTGTGACAAATATAGGAAGGTCGCTGAGTTCTGATGGCTTGGTATAGAAAGGTAGCAAGGAAGTACAGACGGTGGTTGGATGGATAGAGCCACTTCAACTTGGTATAATACTGGGTTATATGAGTATCTCTTGAGATTCCGAAGGCAAAACGTATTGCGCATTTCATTAGACGTTTGGCTTCGAATTCTCCCGAGACTCCGCCGTACACCTGACAGCCATAGTCGAAGTGGGGGAACACAAGGGAGGAAACCAGGAGTTGACGGGATTTATATGGAAGGAGAGAGCGGAGACGGTTAGACTGTTTCAGGGTAGAGATAGTACGACGGCAAATTTGGGAGCTGTTTGGTTTCCAGGAAAGGATTTGATCAAAGGTAACACCAAAGTATTTTACGGAAGTGTGGAATAGGTGAATTATTCAGGAAAAGATTGGGGAGTGTCGGTAAGGATTTGGAGTAAAAATTACTGCAAATAGATAGAAGCAATACAAATACTCACCATATTTTTTTTTTTTAGTAACTAGGAGCTGCTTTCCTGTCACGACTGAACTAATTGAAGTAGGAAATACAGAGGAGACATGGTACTTTTTACTTATTCTGGAACATGTAAATAACAACACTTTAAAATTTGAATGTATCAATTTGATACAACTGATACGAATGATCAAATTGTAATAAGGAAAGATAGATTAATATGATATAAACTATTTTCCGAAACCATATGATTTCAATAAATAATTTGCTCTATTTTACAATTCTTTTTTTGTTCGCCAACCTACACCATCTATCCCCTTAAATATGGTTTCTTTGCCAACGAGAAGCATCTGTGGAAGCAGCTGTAGTATCGTTTTTTAAATTTTTGGTTTCTATAGTTACTTTACGAGAAAAAATAAATATAAATCACGCAGTTTCATATGTATAAAAAATTAAACTAAATCAAACTATGAAAGTTAAGCGAAATTTTTAGTAATTTTATCAGTTTTATAATGTACCAAAGTTCAATGAAAATAATGAACAAGTCCCAAAGTCCGTTTCGGATATCAAAACAAGATAAAACGATTGGGAATTACGGTAAAAAATACAATAAAATCTATAGGTTAAATTTAATAAATTAAATTATTAAAACCTATTGCTGGATTGGACGAGGAGTTTTAGAAAAAAAGAAAGAAAGAAATTACCTTTTCTAATTAAAATTCAGACACATGTTCTGAAGATGATGTAAATAAATAAGAAATGACAAAGTCATCGAAATTTACGTGAATCGTTTGTTTGATAAACTTCAAAATTTTATATTATAAAAAATTTAGGCTCACTGTATCACATTATAAACAAATTTAAAGTCTTAACTTTCTTGGATGGCGTAATATTTCCAAGTGTGAAACTTGGATGAGAATGTAAAATTGAAAAGTTAGATGCCTTCCAGGCCATTCGAATTCTCTGACTCATATCTTCTTTAAAAACTGATCTCGGTCGCGAAGAGCATTCAGTCGTCGTTGTATCTCCCTGCTGCTACGTTACTGTCAAATCTTCTATTGCGTACTTGTTGCCAGATTTAGGATTGTTTGGTATGTAATTTTATTTTTGTTTTATGACCTTAATAGACAGATTCATCTAACGATCTTATCCGGAATAATCTAATAAAAGTATTGCTTTCTTAAATTAAAAGATTTTTTCATTGTTTCAAGATTGCACAACAAAACTTAAACATTCTTGAATTCGTATTTTATTTTTTTTTTATAAGCTATAGATTGTTCTTATTCCATATTTTTCAGTGACGGATTTTTTTTCTTCTGGTAGACTTGGCAAGATGAATCCAGACAGCGTTCATTATAAAATATTTCTTTGTGCTGCCGGTTATGAACCAGAAATTCGAAGGATAACCGTTGATAAAGATATATGCCACAATTATTTTTATCTAAAACAGAAAATTCTAGCTATCTTTCCAACTCTTAAAGATGTTGCTTTCACTATATCATGGAAAGGTAAATTTTTAAAATATATTTATTAGCTAAGTTCAAATTTAATCAGTGTTTTACTATCAGTTATTTATTTTAATGTTATCTTCATTGTTATATTTTGAGGAAGTATTCCTTATGAGTGTTTTTTAAGTTGTTGAAAAACATTATAACTTATGTTCTTACCATAAGCTATTTTTAAACTTTTATCTTATCTAAGTGCTTCCTAAATGAATAGAGTCCCATGTTTTTGTTTATAATCAAGGAATAATTTTTTTTATTAACAATTTTAAATGTGCAAATCAGGATTACTATATATTTAAAAACTATTATGACTCGTATTGTCATTGTTATTGAACTTAAATTAGTTGTTATTTCATTAATGTCTATTTATCCATTAAATAACTGAACAATTGAGCTTTTGAAAATTACCAGGCTTTGTTTATGATCATTATGGACGTTAAATCAAGCTAAATGATTCAATACTTGATATCATTTTATTTTATTCTATCTAGAACTATATTACTTGACGAATGATGAAGAGAAGAATAGTTGGGGTGATCAGTCAAATAAGAAGGCAAAAATAAATGATACTATTTATTTTGACATTAGTCGACGTTTGGACCTGAAGTTCAGGCCATCATCAGGGCTAAGAAAAGAACCAGATAACAAGGTATGAGAAACATAAGTAGTGTAGGTAAAAAAATTAAAGTAAAATTCAGTTGTTAGAATAATCACAACAGTAAGAACAAAGAGATAAATGATAATAAGCGGTACAAAGTGTGGAATGATGAAGTAAACATAATTAAAAAAGGTGACATAAGATTATTACATTTGATTATGTTTACTTCATCATTCCACACTTTGTACCGCTTATTTTCATTTATCTCTGTTCTTACTATTGTCATTATTCTAACAAAGGAATTTTACTTTAATTTTTTTACCTACACTACTTATGTTTCTCATACCTTGTTATCTGGTTCTTTTCTTAGCCCTGATGATGGCCTGAACTTCAGGTCAAAACGTCGGCTAATGTCAAAATAAATAGTATCATTTATTTTTGCCTTCTTATTTGACTGATCACCCCTACTATTCTCTTCATTATTCATGACAGTCAACCATTTTACCAATTATGAATATCTTACTTGACATATTTCTTGTTTTTTATCACAGCTAAATTTCATAAAACATTCAGTGTTGGTTCCATATCTTCAATACTCCAAAATAAGCTCATTATTCAATATTTCAGATATTTCATCATATTCAAGTATAACCCTATTCCTTCTCTTCTTATATTTTCTTATTATGTTTTTTCTTATATAAAAACTCGTCTTTATCTCGCTATGTCGTTATGTTATCTTTTACTGGAAATTCTGTGATAAGTAGGGATATCAGTATTAATATTTATCATTTCAATGTTTACAATCCTTTAAGACATTATAAATTTTAGGGTATCGTTGAAAATATCAAAGTAGAAAAAGGGCTGACCTTGAATTAGTAGATTTCTAATAGCAACAATTAAATATCAATATAGTGCTTATCATTCAAAATACAATGCTTCCCTACCTTCGGTAGTGAGCACGGGGGGAGGGGAGGGCTTTCGGGCTGAAGCCTCCTCCTAAAATGGTAAAATATAACCATGTTTTACAGAAAAAAGTATTAAAAACTATCTCTTAATATATTCTTGTTCTTGTAATTACATTTAATAAGACTTCAGGAACCACTTAAACACCTTGTCATATAGGTAGTTAATTTGTTTATTTTTTTTTCAAATTAATTATCATTATATACATATGACGAAAAAAAATCTTTCTGAAGCCCCCCCCAAAATTAAATCCTGGATCCGCTTGTGGTAGTGAGGAAGCAAAAAGTATCATTCTATTAAAATGAATTATTAATTGGAATTAGATAATATCTATGGAACTCACTTTATATGTTTTCACGCTTTAATTACACATTACATTTCTGGAGTTATTTAATTGTAAAATACTTAAACTGCTAACATAAAAAACTGTCGACAAAGTATACCTATGGTTTACGAAACAAGAAAATGGATGATCCTTATTGAGTTGATCATAGATAATGTGACTAAATTCTTAATATATGTGTAGTAGGTAGTAGGTACCCTTAAGTGTCGTATGAGACTTACAATAAGTCATAGTGTGTAAACCTGGGATAACTTTATGTATCCGTCCCTCTCTTTCAGCTTTGATTAAATTGCTTTTATCGCTTATGGACATATTTTTTTATTTTTATTGCATTCTTATTAATCATTCCCTCCAGATGATGCTTTCTTTTCAAATATTTTTTTATACTTATATGGAATAGTGTAGAATAAATATAAGTTTTTGTTTTATTGTGTAAAACAAGTGAATACAATTGTGGCGAAAATTATATGTAATTATATTTGACATTAATGTTTTTGTGGAGTATTTTCTAGTTATTTTAATTTTAATATTCTCTTGAGCCTTCAGTCTAAGAAGTTAATTTGGTATTTTTCATAATCAAACAGGAATAAAACCTTTTTAATCATTCAAACCATGTTCAAATTTGTGTTTTAATGAATTTTTCATTTGAAAACCTTGAGAGCCCTTGCATCATACTTCAACTTTTTTTATGCTATATCACTGGATACCATATTCATTATAAGAGTTCAGAGAAGCAAAATACCATGCCCGTTGAAATAGAAGATATGGTTACTTAAACATCAGAATTGTCAATTATGTTTTTTTTTTAAATCATGGTATTTTAGCCAAGGTTTTGTCCTGTTGAACAGATGTTATTGAACAGCTTCCAATGAGAAGAATCTCTTGAAAGGTTATTTCTATTTTTGTTACAGTTTTTAATCATCAATTAAATATTAATTCAATTCTTAAAATATCAAAACTGTAATGATTACAATGATAGGTTATATAAACCACAATTGTCAATTTCGCTTTGTTGGTAGTTCATTTCCTGTAAATTACTCTTTACTTCGCTAAACAGGAGTTATTTTTTAAAAGTATGTTAGCTATGAAATAGTTTTCATGTTCGTCTTTGAAAGGTTAATTTTAATTTGTTTAATTATCCTAAATATGTTAGTGTTATTGAAATAACTTATAATCAATGCTTAATGTGTTATATTATGGTACTAAAGAGTGAGCATGAATCTTGAGTGAACAATCTCTTTCTGTGCTAACCTGCTAAAGTGTTATTAGAGTGTTCAGTCAAATTGAAATGGTAAAAAATGAATAATTTTTATTTACATAAAAAAAGTTGATATAGCATAAAAAAAGTTGAAGTATGATGCAAGGGCTCTCAAGGTTTTCAAATGAAAAATTCATTAAAACACAAATTTGAACATGGTTTGAATGATTAAAAAGGTTTTATTCCTGTTTGATTATGAAAGATACCAAATTAACTTCTTAGACTGAAGGCTCAAGAGAATATTAAAATTAAAATAACTAGAAAATACTCCACAAAAACATTAATGTCAAATATAATTACGTATAAATTTCACCACAATTGTATTCACTTGTTTTACACAATAAAACAATAACTTACAATTGATTCTACATTATTCCATATAAGTATAAAAAAAATATTTGAAAAGAAAGCATCATCATCTGAAGGGAATGATTAATAAGAATACAATAAAAATAAAAATAATAAAATAAGTCCATAAGTGATAAAAGCAATTTAATCAAAGCTGAAAGAGAGGGACGGATATATAAAGTTATGCCAGGTTTACACACTACGACTTATCATAAGTCTCATACGACACTTAAGGGTACCTACTACCTACTACACATATATTAAGAATTTAGTCACATTATCTATGATCAACTCAATAAGGATCATCCATTTTCTTGTTTCGTAAACCATAGGTATACTTTGTCGACAGTTTTATATGTTAGCAGTTTGAAATATTTTACAATTAAATGACTCCAGAAATGTAATGTGTAATTAAAGCGGGAAAACATATAAAGTGAGTTCCATAGACATTATCTAATCCAATTAATTTTAAGCGAATTGCTGTTTAGCGAAGTAAAGAGTAATTTACAGGAAATGAACTATCAACAAAGCGAAATTGACAGTTGTGGTTTATATAACCTATCATTGTAATCATTACAGTTTTGAGTATTTTGATATTTTAAGAATTGAATTAATATTCTAATGTTTAATATTTAATTGATGAATTAAATTGTAACAAAAATAGAAATAACACAGTTATTAGATTTAGTAAGTTGAAACCTGCACTGGTGATAACTTTGATTCCACTTACTGATTTTAATTATTAAGAGCTGTTTTTTATTTTACTGTCTAATATATAGAGTGTGTCAACCATAAATTTATGAAGATTTTTTAAAAAATATATCCACTTTGAATTTCATCATGTTTTCATTTTCATACGTAAGGATAACAAATTATTGTCTTCTTTTGTCCATATTATTTTGCACATTTTCTAGATTTCTACTCCATCATTTCTTAAATTCCATTCCACCCAAAGCAGAAGTAATAAACAGAAATTTAAAACCTCATAATAACATTCTCGACAAATTTATGAATTTAGCACCAGTTTTAAGAGACCCCAGACTGTGGTAAAAATTTTTGTGCAAGCAGCCATATTTAATACATAAATCTTAAATAAGTTTCTCGACTTTAACAGCTTTACAATACTTAGCATTGGTGGCATGAATACCGCAATTGTAATTCTGCAAAATTTATTCATGAATCTTTAATTTTGTTTGTTTAGAAGATTTTTTTTTGGGAACCAGTGTTCATTCTTAACTTATCTTGATTCCGCAGTTGGTTTTTTGTAGTTAAAATGACAGAAAAATTTCAACATCTAACCTGTATGTGTATTAATATAAATTTACTTTAAAATACCTCTTCTGAATGATCATTTAACTTTAATTATTAATGTTTCTTTTCAGATACTGAAGGTGATAACATAAGAATTTGTACTGACGATGAACTGGTTATCGCATTGAAAGAAATGGAATCCCATGCTTTCAAGAAAATTTATGTCAATGCAACTCCACAAGGTAAAGTTTTTCAAATTGTAATTGTCTATTTGATACTGAAAAATAATTTTGCTTCTTGCCGTGACTCTCAGAATAATGCATTTTCTTTTGTCTCTGCTAATACTTCACAATACGTGCTTAATAATTATTATTTAATGACTGTATAAAATTATTTACAAAGATAATTAGTATTAAAGAAATTTATAGGGGTAATAGCTACGTTATGAGATTAGAGACATGGCTAAGTTATGGCCTGTCAGCATCTAGATCATACCGTTGATTATGTTTTGCTTATTATAGTCCGCAATGCAGACTAGTGTTATTAAAACAAGGCTCGAGTTGAAGCCTCATAGGGTTCTAGCCTTAATGAATTTCTCTTTAAAAAAAAAATTAAATTACTGTACATTTTCGTAAACAAACATATTTTTTCTGTTTTTGTTACAAGGTGAATATATTTCTAAAATATAAAGTGAATATACTATTTTTCTGTTTATATTAACAATGTGAATATATTTTTGAAATATAGTATAAATCAATAGCTAGGAAAAAAGAATTAAAGTTTCAGCCGCGTTTTGCGCTTTTTACTACGAGTAGATGGGTAATACTTCCTTTAAATTTTTTTTTTTTAACCGGGGAGTTTAACCCACCCTCCAAATTTAAAAAAAAAAATGAAATGGTAATATGTTTGGTTGGGTGGGAGATACTTTGTTCAACTCTTTTTGGGAGAGGGGATTAACCCTCAAGCCTTTTACTGCCGAGCTCTTAGGACTTGAGTCTTGTCCGAGTCGGGAAAGCTTGTGCCTTTTCGGCTCAAGCCTTATAGCCTTCTCATCGAACTTTTTTACAACACTAGTACCGACCCCTTTTTGTCAAATAATTAACATCCAGCAACTTAGAAAATGGTTACATCTTATTGTAACATACAAATTTTTTATCAATGAAAATTCTCAGAAATAGAACTTTTTCTCATTACCTTAATTAATTTAATGAGGCACTAATAGTGCCTCACTTTAAACTCATGAATACCCATTTGCTTTCCACTTGAACCATAAAATAATTTGATCGCATAATCGAGAAAAAATACAGCCTATAAAAACTTTAGACTATACTTGTCCTAAATTCCCTTATTATTTTGATATGTTCGGGGTGGAGTTTCAATATCCAAACTAGGCAATAGTTTTGTAGGCCACCTTTTTTTCTCAATTTGGTGATCAAATTATCTTACGATTCAATCGAGTGGAGAGCAAATGGATGTTCATGATTTTTTCGTACCTCTTTAAATAGACAAAAATTTACCTATCTTCAGATTGAAAACACCCCATTTCCGAGAATTTGCGAAAATAAAAAAGTTATAGTTTAGAATAAAATGAAGCCATTCATGAATTTTTAGACAGATGTTAATAATTTAATAAAAAAAAACGAAAAAAAAAACGCTCCATACCACGGACTATTAGCTTAAACTGGTATTTCGAGTTTCAAAACTTTCTCCCAAGAAATGGTTTTGAGTTTTTTTTTCTCTCCTATTGTAGCAAGTTTATATTTTATAACTGAGAGACGTTTGAGAATATCGTGTTCTAAGCAAAATACTTCAGGACTTTGCTAAAACATTAAATTAAAAAAAAATGAAGTCATATCATTGTACCTTTGCCACTGTTTTATAATGTACTTCAGCCTGGCCCAAAGTACATTAATATAATTTCAAAATATATCTTGTAGAGAATAAATCCTTGATTCGTGGTTTTTACCGAAGAAGTTTTTAAAAGATTATTTAATGACTGCAAGCATAATATTTATCGTGGGCTTTTAACTGATAACATAAAAAAGTTAACTTACCATTGTAGATAAATGATACTTATTATTAAATAATAATCATAATTTCGATTACAACAAATATTACCTGAGATACAATTTGTAGCACAAGGTATAAGTAGTTGGCCAAGGTACAACTATAGTAATTCTATTTTCTATATCTCCATCTCTATTTTACATATATTAATACATTTGCTCATTTATTTTTTTTACATTATTTTAACTTTTTATTCTCTTATATGTAGTCAGTATATTTTGATAAATTTGACAATATCTGAATTTTCTATTTATATCTATTATTTTCTTATATAACTCCATGTTCATTTTCTCTGTTTTACATTTTACTCTAAGATTACCATTTTTCATTTCTCTTCTTCTTCTCTCACTATCTCCTGTGTGCTGCTAAGCGTGGAGTAGCTGCCTCTGACCATCTTGTCCAACGGTCCCTGTCCTGTGCAAGCCTTCTCATCTCCGGCATGGTGCTTCCTCTCTCTGCGCCAATTCTCTCTATCAAGTCTGCATACATAAGCCTTGGCCTGTCTTGAGGTTGCCTTCCTCCCGGTCTTGCTTCTAGAAGCCACCTGGCCTTAGAGTCATCTCTCATTCTATTAACATGCCTATACCACTTCAACTGCCTCTCTTCAATCGTCTCTAGAACGGATCTAACTCCTAGTTCATCTCGCAACCTTTCATTCCTTATTCGATCTCTCCTTGTTTTTCCCAATAATTTCCGTAGGAATCTCATTTCTGCAGAGACAATCTTGCTGACATGGTGGTCCAAGAGTGTCCAGCTCTCCGATCCCTATAGCAGCACTGGGAGCAAAAATAATTTGAATAGCAGAATCTTCGCTTTTCTGCTCAACTCCTGCTTTCCAATTAGTGCCATGCATATTTGGTAATATATTCCATTGGCCTTTTGGACTCCATTCATGACCTCCTGGTCTATTCTTCCATCCCTGCCGATCATTGTTCCCATGTAGCAGTAGGTATCGGTTTGCTCAAGGAACTCTCCATTGCAAGTGATTCTAAGATCCTCGTTCCTTCGTCCAACACACATGACCCTGCTTTTGGAGGGATTGATCTGCATGCTTCTGAGTTGCAGTTCTTCTTGCCACTCATTCACAGCGACCTGAAGCGATTCAGCCGTATCCGCAACCAATACCACATCATCTGCGTGCAATAATACCTGTGTCAACACTGGGGTTTCATTTCTCATGTTACCTTATTTCGATTAGTAGTCCTTATTTCATTAGCCCGTACTTTATTTTCATTATTATTTATTTCTTAGTTCTCTGTTACTGTTATTATTGTATCACTTTATTTTACTTTAATGTTCACTCTATATACCTTAATTTTAATTCTTTATTATTCAATGTTTACAGTTTCTCATACCTATTGTTATCTGTTTTTTTTTCTCAAGCCCTGATGGTGGCTTGAACTTTAAGCCGAAGCGTTGGCAAATATAATTATTTATTTTTACTATTTTTTATTTTGACTGATCACCTCAACTATCTTTCTCTTCAATTATTCACTACAGTCAACCATCAACCCACAATTATATATACGTATATATATTTCTTTGCTATTAAATTAACAAAATAATTTTATTTTCTGCAGGAAAGGAGGGTCCAGCCCATCCAGATGTAATCTGTGACGGTTGCGAGCATCCTTTGCAAGGCTTCAGGTACAAATGCCTGGTCTGCTATGACTACGATCTCTGCCCAGATTGCGAGAGATCACAAATGCATCCCGATCATCCAATGATTAGAATCCCTCTACCGTTATCTTCAGTAAGTAACATAAAGCTCACGTTATGTTTATATTTTTACTTTCACTTACGTATAATTGTAATATATAGTAAGAGTAAGTATTACGATCGTGAAAATTTTCGAATCTCAGTTTTCAACAGTGATACATGTTTTGAGGTCCATTGAGTCCAAATAACCTACTGTCGCAAAATGATCTGTTTGTGTGTGTTACACAGTCTAGCTCATAAATGAAAAGTAGTACGAAACTTATATTAAATATTTAAGGTTTGTATATGGGCCGGATGTGACAGTAACTTTTTCGTTAAAATCATCTAACAAGTGCCACTTTATATGAATGTTGAAACATATTTTTACAATTTTCTCAAAAACGGCTCTATACAATATCATCCTCCCGTTTCACTACAGACTCACAGTACCTATTTCTTTCTTTTTTTTCAAGATAAATCCTTTTTGTTGCGAATCTTTACTTAATTTTGCTTCCCTGGTCACCATTAATTACCTATCCTCTACATTGTAATTTAATTATTCTCATAAATACTTAGATTGTTTCACTGTCTTTATTTTTCCATATTTTGTGTGATCCACAAACAATATTTTTATTGTGCTTGTACTACATATAATATTATATACTTAATATATATTTTTCATTGTAGTGATTGATATAATCATATATTATATTAACTTTAGGAAATGCCGTTTGGAAGGAGATTCGCCAGAGATATTGCTAAAATGGGTAAGCATCTAGAAAGGTTACTACATCAGACGTCAGACCATGTGGGTGACAAGAAGGCCAAAGGGGATTATTCAAACGCTACCAGATGTGGATCGAATGATAATAGGAAACAGCATAAAATGAAGTTCTGCCATCACAGTAACGACATGCAAAATTTTCTTCACAATCTTGTGTATAGTCAACTCGAGAAGATGCGTGGTTCATCAAGCGGTGATAACAATGCAACATCTGATAAACCACAACCGGATAATTCACAGCCTCAGGCTTCGTCGAGCAGTGATGGTTATCCAATCTTCGAAGAGCAGAAGAAATTTGTTAACATACTGACGAATGGGCTAAATTCTTTCTTAGACCCTTTAGGTATGTAGAATTTATTTTTACTTTTATTAATATATATATATATATATATATATATATATATATATATATATATATATATATATTTTTTTGTCTGAGAACTGAGAAAAAAATGGGTACTTGTGAATTAGCAGGTCGCCAGGGACTGCTATCCACCATTATTTATAACATGAACACTGATAATTGTGAGACCTTCATACCTACCTTCTTATTTACATTTGTGGAAATTGAAATAAACAAAAAGAAATTTAATAATAACAAAACACTTTTATTTTACAACATTTTATTTATTTTGTGAGATAAAATATAAAATATAGAGGACTTCTCTGTGGACCTGCTACCACAAATATTCACATAAATATGAATCCAGGTGTTGTCTCGCAGTTCCTTAATGTTTTTTTATTCCTGCTTCTTTTAGCTGAGCCCTATGATCGTTTCTGTCGTTTCATAAATTGTTATTTTATTGTTCCTACATGGTTTTTGCTTTTAGAAAAAAGACTTTCGTCTATTTCAATCACTTTTCCTGGCCCTCCATTTTTTTCAATTGAACTGTATAACATGTTAAGATGTTATTATATCTGTTTAATAAAACAACAAATAACATACAATAATAACAAAAAAAAATTAAATAACGACATCAATGCACAAGTAACTAAGCAGAGACTAATTATTACAAACGACATTTTGCACTAACAGTAGTGATATAAAGCAACTAGAGCTAAAAATAAGTAAAGTGAATAATGAGGTCACAATATAATTAGTGAATAATATAATTTTAAAAATCACTTAAATTATGTGTATTTTATTTCTTTTTCTCTTAATGTTCTGTTATATTTATATATTACTATTATATTAAGTTTTTTTGTATTAATTGAAAATGAATACATTCTGCCACATTGGAAGGCATTATTATTTGGGCTACATTGATCATTCACCCAATAATATGAACATAAAAATGATAACTAAAATAGAGATAATAAAGAAAAAGAAATGTAGAAAATTAATATACATATGAAAAAAAAAAATGAAGTCATAGAAACAAACTAAATAAAATTAAAATAGATAAAACACATTAACACCTATATACAATATGTACATTCGCCCTGGGTACTCTTGAGTCATGCTTTGTTTCCCAAATGTGGAAGCCAAAGCAGGACTCCAGGAGATCCCAGTTCTTCTCTCCCAGCCGCATCACTGGTATTCTAAGTTAGTGGAGACTGATGGAGGGCACTAGAATATTAATTATAATATTTTACCTTCTCTTGACTTAATTGCATAATTTTGTCTATATTTTACATTTTTTATGTAATTTTTAATTTTTAGCTCTATTAATGACAGTATTATTAATCTGAAACGTCAACAACCAGAATAAAAATTACATCATCCTAAATATATAGTAATCTAATTGACATTAATGTTTTACTTAAAATATTTCACAAATCATTGAAATTATGATTTTTCTTTATTATAAAAATTAATTGTAATCTAAAATAATCATATACATCAATTGAAATAAAAATTACTGTATTCCATTGCACAAAAAATATTTATATGTTATCTTCACAATTAGAACTTGAATTTGTTTAAAATTAGAACTAATGATTGCTTGTCCTTGAAGCAGTTAATACGTGCATGTCTCTCTATTATAGCCGCCATAATAGAGAAAATTATTGCAAGTAATGCTAAAACTCGTTTCCTTTTTCTGTTTGCATAATTATACTGATAGCGACTTGGCGATTGGCATAGCCTTTATTTTGCTATGTTCGTTATTACCAGAGCCTGGATTTTTATACTGTGAACAAAAAAAAAAAATTTATAGCAAAATATTCAGTATTAAAACATAAAATGTACATAGAAAATATTTCCAAATATTTAAAAATACATATAAACTATTTATTTACATTAATGTGCCTACAAAAAGTTCTGAATTAAAAATAATGAAAATTATAGAAAAAAAATTTATTAAACGAAAATCCAGGGAGATGGTCCCGGATGAAGTTCATAAAAAATTTTTTAAAAAAATTAATGAATAACTATTTATTTTAAACCAAAATAAAAATCATTTAAGTTTTTTATAACCAAGATAATTAAAATATTATGTCAAAAACAATAAACAAAAACTAAGAATATATAAATGCTTAAAACACAACACAATATGAAATACATTTTAAGAACTAAAATATTAAATTAATACAAACTCCCAAATATTAATAAATAAAAACAGCAATAGGTAATTGTATATATGAATGATTACTGACAATATTTGATAAATGAAAATATTTAAACATACACTAATGTGTATGATAATAGTTAAAAATAAATTAACCTATAATTAAAAATATTTAAATAATGCGAGACACTTAAAAATAATATAAAATTACAGTTAGCAAAGATATCAATGGTTTTTACTAAAAAAGATAATTTAAAATTGCATATTTCTCAAATATTCAAGATTTGTTTTATTCAGCTTGCGGGCATTTCCAATGTTACATTTAAATTTATTATTATTTTTTTATAATCAAACAATCAAAATATGCATTTGTCACTAAATAGCCGTATAAAATTTGACTAATTGCATGTGGATGGGCACACTCATTTGCAAAGATATTTGATCAACTGTTTAAATACTGCATATGAAATTGAATTCAAATCTGGACGTTGGTTATTACTTATCTTTTGTTTATTAATCTATTATTTTACTCAGGATATAATAATTGCTTGCTACCAATATATTTATTTTTATTTTCATAATGTTGAATATTTTACTTTAATAATGATGTAGAGATGGTTGACCGTTGATATAATATGAGAAGGAGTTGATCGAGGGGTGCAGTCAAATAAATAATAAATTAAACAAATAATATTATTTAATTTTTGCCGACGTTTCGACCCACTTTGCAGGCCTTCATCAGGGCGTAGGATGTAGCACTGCGGGAGGCAGTTGAAACAGTACAGTGTTTCAACTGCCTCCCGCTGTGCTAAATCCTACACCCTGATGATGATCTGCAAACTGGATCGAAACGTCGGCAAAAATTAATAATATTATTTGTTTAATTTATTATTTATTTAACCGCTACACCCCCCCCCCCCCCTCCCGATCAACTCCTTCTCATTTTACTTTAATATATTCAACTTTTTTTTTTATTCTCTGATCACCAAGCCCTCTGAAAATAACTTTAATTTGACACTCTAAGCAATCACTAGGATCTCCAACAGTCCAAGGGGACATTTCATTGATTTATATCTTACAATTTTGTTAAATCAACTTTAATATTCGAAGCAATTGTATTAAAACATATTGGTCATTTAATCAGTTATTTATTTTATTTTTTTGTTTATCTTATGCCTTGATCGTCTTGAGCTCTTTCATACTCTTAATACTCTTGTATACTGAGAATATGGTTTATATATGTTTTCTTAATTAAAGAAAATATTAACAGTGTTGTGTAAAATGAATTAGTTTCATCTCCATCAAATGGTACCGTACCCATTTTGATGTAAAATATATATTTCCAAGATGTTTCGTGGTTGAAATATGTTACAAATTATAAGAATAAGGCAATTCGCAACAAAATTAGACAGCTTTTTTTAACCCATTGTTAACTTGTGCACATGGAATTTGGTGATATTATAATTTATATGATGATATAATAAAAAATAGATATATTATATTTTTAATTAAATATTTGATTATAACTATTTTAATGTACTATATGGTAAATATGTAATAGATACAAATAAAATATATATTTCTGTTAACTAACAATATTTTTAAAAATACCACTAAAAAAATTATCGACAAAAAGAAGGTTGTTGTCTAAATGAGAACCTACTGTATTTTTTAAATACTAATACAAAAATAAAATTTTAGTATTAGCGGATAAACAGTACAAAAATGATATATAAAATTGTGGGTGATAAATATTCAGGACGCAGTCTTTTTTAAAATTTTTTTTTATTTTTGCCAACGTTTCAACCCAAACATGTGGGTCATCTTCAGGGCGTGGTTTGAGCACTGAGGCTGTTCATGGAGTAATTGAACACCCTCAGTGCTTAAACCACGCCCTGAAGATGACCCACATGTTTGGGTTGAAACGTTGGCAAAAATTTTTTAAAAATTTAAAAAAGACTATTCAGGACGCAGTCTTTATTTATGTGAATATTTATCACCCATGATATGTAGAACAGTCGACTAACTTCCTTCAAGATATCTAAAATTGTGATGTAACTAATAAAAGGTTTTGTTGTCAATATAAAATTTTATTGCTTTATCTTTTTTGGAATAAAAAAAAGTATCCTATATATTAAATTTTTTGAAGTGAAAATTTCTTTACTCGCATTTTCCACTTTTTTGTGGAGAGTGAATTAGATTGATCCTTCAGATTTCCAAAGTGTTAACACTCGAGTAGAGTCCAATTTAAATGTTTTTATATATGGGTTAAAACATCACAGAAACTAAAAATCTGGCCTGCATACTGTTAGTCATAAAATTGTTCAGCATTTCATCCTCCTTATAATAGGCTATAACAAAACTGTAACTTAACGCGACACTGTGTAAGGGAGGCGAAAAAAAAAAAAAAAATAGTGTTAAAATCCAAATGATAACGAGGTTAGTTGAACATATGTACAAAAATATTTCAGATACTAAAAATCGGACTATATTTTCAGCATTTCATCTTATTTGTAATGAGCTATTATTTATAATTTATATTTCATATTATTAATCTCACCTTGTAGATGTTTTCACTGATATTGTGTGGTCTAAAGCACACACCTTAGTTTTTTTTTGTTTTTTTTTCATATCTATTTATTGTTACAAATCTAATCTACGTCTTGTTTTTTTTAGGAATTGATATCGTTGTTGAAGAAGACCCAGTGAAGGAGGAGAGTCCTCAGAAGCGCCCTCCGTCGAACCAGTCTGAAAATGTATGCCATTGTTAGATTAAAAACATTAGAAATGTATAGGGGAAAAATATCAAAAAAGTTAACATTAAACGTGAATTATATATATCTGTGAAATAACTTGTTTCTTTTTATATATAGTTTATTTAAATAGTTTAATTCTTAAAAATAGAGATGAAATTTTAGAAAGGTAGATAATAGTTTTAAGTTCAAGATTTTTAGATCCTGCCATAATTTTATTTTATGAAATAGTATAGTCCCGTATATCTATGTGAATCTATTTTAGTTTCAAACTTACTCTTAAAATAATTAAAAAAGGATCATGCTAAGTAAAATAAATAATATTTAATCAATAGTAAAATGTAGAGAAATCTAATAATTTTTTTTCGTGGAGTATACTAGGTTTCATCATTATAAGAACATTATTCAAACTAATGAGTATTTAACAAACAAATGAGAAAGACATTTTTATTATAATAAGTCTTGACCTGTGAATTTGAGAAGATTAGCATAATAATTAACAAATAAAGATTAATATTGTGAAGAACAGCAAATAGCTGGAGTGTGAGATATAACATATTTAAAAACAAAATAGATATATATCAAAAGCCACACTGCAAAAGTCTGTTAGGACAATTTCTTTGGAGAATGAGATTTTGAGATTTTCTGGTCAATCTTGTCCTGATGTGTATTCTGATCCTACAAAATGAAATCAACGATGTTTCGTTTCTTCTCTATGCCCTTTTGTGAAAAACTAACCTATAAACCAGCAAATTGTGAACTAAAAAACTTTAAGTTACAGTGAAGGTTATAAAGATTGTGTCGTTACCAAAAAAAAAAGAAATGAAATACTCATTGAAAGGTGGTCATGTAAATATAGAATGAATGGAGCGTTTTGTGTATAGACTACAGTATCAATTAGCTTTATTCTTCTTCAATGGGCACTACAGTCCTTGTAGAACCTGGGCCTCTGCCACCACTCCTCACGGCCCGCAGCAAGATTCCTCCAATTTCTGATCCCCAGCCTCCTCAAGTCTTCTTCCAGATCATCCAACCATCGGTGTCCGGGTCTACCTCTTTGTCTTTTTCCTTTTGGAGTACCATTCAGCATCATTTTTGGAAGTCTACTGACATCCATTTTTCAACTTGACCCAGCCATCTGAGTCAAAGTGTACATAATAGATTTTTATCGGAATTGAGGTAAGGATCGATTCCCATGTAATAAAAAACACCCAATGAATTGGGTGGTGCAATTATTGTTACTTTTTTTTTTCAATGCTGACCACTCTGCCGCAAATGTGGTCGAGTCAAAAACTCCAGCTAACGCGTTGCGGAATCGTCCACATAACATGCTCCAAATGTCACTCGTCGGCACAGTAATATAAAGCATCGCACAGCCGAATTCCTTGAAATAAAGAACTATAAATGTTTCATCGGAGTTTATTACCTGGATATGGAAGGCTCGACAAGGTTCATCGATATTTTGTCGTTCAATGCTACTGAAAAGGAGGCACCCACGATCAGATTTGAAACCAATGATCAGGATCAGAACTTCATGCTGTATACCTTACCTGAAAGACAAGTACAGAGATGTATTCAGCAAGAGAGAATTCTCGGTTAAAGGGCTGTGGTTCAGAAGTAGAGGGAGCACCCCTCTTACTACAAATTATTTCTTGGAGAGGCTGAGTGTTGGAAGGGAGCAGATGCAGACAATTGCAGAAACGATCATTTTAGACTCTTTGGGAATCCTCCGTCAACACATATATTGATCTAGGCCTTCGCTTATTTGATTCTATGAACTGATCTGATGTATAATCTAATGACCTAACTCTCTCTTATTAATTATTCTTCTTAATAACATTAAGGATGTCTGACTTTCCATATAACTCCATTAATTCTATGCTGCTCTTTGACAGCTCCAAGGATCTTCCTTAGGACTCTTCTCTCCCAGAACAGCAAGACTCTCCTGTTTTCCTTGGTCATAGTCCATGTCTCACTGCCATATAAAACGACCTGTCTAATCACCGTTTTATATATTACTATTTTTGCCTTCCTTTTGGAGTGCCTTTTGCAGAGCATAGAAACATCTAGTTTCTGTAACCATCCTGCCTTTCATTTCTGCTTCCAAATTATTGTTTTCTGTCACTACTAAGCCCAAGTACTTAAATTTATCTCAGATCCTCCAATTCAACAGTATCTCCTCTCTTTCTAGTATGTCGGGATGTTTGGATGTTTTCATATACCTATTAGCTTTATTAATAGGCTAAAAAAATGTTCTCATACGCTTTGTATTCCTTTTTTAAATTTTTAATAAGTGGCAGACACTTCCAGCCTGCCACCTCTGGGCAAATGCTCGGATTCCACTGCCTTGAGGCCGCTACTGATTACGGAGGAACTAGACGAAGCAAAGAAGAGAGTGTTAAGTGGGGATATAATATAGAACGGGGCTTTCAAAACTGCAAAATGAACTTGACTATAAATAAGCTACAATGCCGCTGAATTCCAAATAGTGAGAGACAGAAAATTAATTTCATTAATTGGGAAATTGAACACTAGGTGATAAAAGAACATTAGTTTCATCATTTCAAATCAATGAATCTTTAAAATTGTAAGAAGCTCAGAAACGAAGTCAGCCGGTTAGCTATAATTTACATACAAGCATTCCTGAATCAAACCATGTCCATATGAAGTTGAGTACATTAAAAACAAAGCTTTCTTAGACTTCTCCCAAAATGGGGCGCATGCACTCCGTTCGAGCTGGCCTTACAGTGGCAGACAAAAAAGTGAATAACTCATGTGATCAAATACTCGCTTTCCAGTCAAATGTTTTAAAAAATTTCATTTGAAGTATTGTTTCTTTATATTTTGGAAACTGACTTTGTTCATATCATGATTTGATCATTATTAACGAAGTTATAGATTAGAAGTAATGGCTATAAAAGATCATTTTGCAGAAATGCAATCAAAAACATTACATCTTTGCCTTAGCCCTGTAAAAAAATTGAACCAAAAATATATTACTCATAGACAAAAAATTATGCAGTTTTTTTTTTTGTCTCCTTAGAATTTTTAGTTTTTGTTCTTACAGGCTTTTGCAGTGTGGCTTTCGATATATAAAATTTTTCAGTATCATACACAATTTTATATAGATATATAATTCCAATATTACAGCACTTGAAATTTTCCTTAAGTTCCAGTATAAAAAAATATGATGTGATAGATATATATTATACATTACTTTACTCAATTTTTACTTATCACTCTACTTTTAGTAAAAATTAAATTTTTTAATGTTAATAAACATTAAGTATATAACTGCAATTATAAATACAAACATATGGCAATTAATATAAATTAGGGTAATTTTGTACTCAATATGAAATTGGTTTTTCAGTTTGAAAAAAAAAATATATATATTTTTTTTCATATGTTTCCTATGGATATTCTATTTAGTTTCTATGGAAACGTTTATTTTCCATTGAGTAACATAAAAGTAGGGGTTATTAATTTATAACAATTGGAATTCATTTAACTTGTCATCATTCTCCGTTGCCTTATATGATATATATTAATTCTTCTAAAATCTTTAGCCTTCCAACGATATATCATACTTACCGTTATATTAATATTCTTATTTCGGGAAAGTTGTTTTCAACCTGCTAAACTATTTTTTCCTAGACTCCTTTAGTTAATTAACAAATTCGTTGATAGTTCATATCACTACCATCAATGAGATTCATTTATTATTTCTAATATAAAAAATTAGAGGTATTTTGGAAATTTTGAAATTTAATTTTACATTGATAAGACATCAACAGGATCTGTGCAGACAGAAAATTGTTCCTGGCTGTTAAGAAATTCAAATACTTCAGATCAATAAATGATTGACGATCAAAGATATCGAAATACCGAAAAATCTCTCTTGAAAAAATCTAAAATTAAGAATATGAAAACATGATGACACAGCCTCGTCCATCATATCCCACTGATGTTATTACCTCACACTAATATTTGTATTGCCACTTGCAACAGCTCTCCAAACTTGACAGAGAAAATATCTATATGTCCCTTAAGTAGAGTTCAAACATCATGATAAGTAGAAAATTTGGATGATATCTATCTAATTATTTATACTATATATAATACTGATGTATGAATCCATTTTCTGGCTCTAAGAAACGATGGGTTTTGATGAATGAGGTATCAAACGATAGGGGATTCGAATGAGGATCAGGAACTGTATTGGTGTATATTAGATAATAAAGAATTCCAGAAAACTGTGGAACAGACAAAAAAAAGGACATTTAAAAGTTTTAGTTTAGAGAAAGGATGTAGCTCAAATACACAGGAAGCGGGGAGGCCGAGCGGACTAATCGCATGTGCAAAACGCGTGTTGCCTGGCAACCTGATAAACCAAATTTTAAATGATAAAATAATTATGAGTTCATGTCTCAGTTCCGAAGGGCTTTTCACTCTGCCATTAATCCACCTTCCTTGGCCCAGAGAAAGCCTTCAAGATCTCATTTTCTGTGAATGGATCAAAGGCTTAAAACGCACGAGACTGTAGATGTAGAAATTAATAGTTTAAACTGGAATTAATTCTAGAAACTGTAGGATGCTGGCAGTTAATAGTTTGGTATAGAAAAAATCTGAAGAAGCTACTTTGGAACACATGATACTACCTCGGGTACCGAAGACAAACCTTGGAGTACAGTTTATGATTTGTTCCAATCTATCCTCAAGTATAATAGAAAGACCACCGTGTACCACACAGTCGTAATCAAAGTGGGGGAAAATAAGTGAGGAAACAAAAAGCTTGCTTGTAGGATATGGAAGATGACAGGAACTATGAAATAATTTAAATGTGCTATTGATCTACGGGGGATATAAGGTTTCCTAGACAAGTTTTAGTCAATAGTAATAACCAAGTTGGAGGCAGGATGGCCGAGCCGGCTAACGCTGTGTAAAATTTGCGTTACCTGGAACATCCTGCGATAAACAAAGTATGAGTTCAAATCCCAGAGAAGGAGGCTTTTAACTTGGTATAATTCTCCCATCCTCTCTCCTGGACCGGGAAAAAACCTGTATAACCTAAAAGGCGAAGTAAAAGGGAGAAATATAATACCCATGTACACTTCAGAGGAGCTGAAGTTGATGAAATTATCATTTAGAACTGATGTAGGAAAGGCGGCAGTGGATATTGAGATTGTGATAGCCAAGCTTGTTGAAGCTTTTTCCGTTTTAACATTCTTGAGCTTAGTGATGCTGGTTCAAGAACGGCCTGGGCGGGTTGAAATTTATTTTGCGCCCATAGAATGAATTTCAACCTTTCCACTCTATAGGTTTAGTCGAACCCCTAGAACTACTTGTTCATCTTCATGATCTTCTGAATTATTCATAAAATCTGTCTATCTCTACAGCATTACAACCCTCAGTCGGTTTTGACCTCCTCAATAAGGCTCCGCTATTCGGCTCTATCTTGTTCTGCCACCTTCCAGTGATCTCTAGATTTCTTGCATCCACTGCCACTCCCTCGGCCAATGTTAATATGGTCTTCTAACTCTTCGAGTTATTTTTAATTATTTTGTATGAGGAAATTCTAAAAATTTAATGTAATTTTGCAATGTTTTTGGAAACATATTTAGGGTTGATTATTTCAGAGGTGATCAAGAAGATGAACAAGTTGTTCGAAATGTTAACTAAAAGAAAAAAATTATAGATTAAATTTTATAAATAACCATGATGTAATAAGTATTATATGAAAGTTCAACATACCCTTAAAATAATAAATTAAATTGGATTGATGAAAAATTATAATATTTTTGTTAGGATTACATTATTTGAAATGTTAAATATTGTACAAATTACGTAAATTATATTATTAATTAAAGATTAGTTATGTCCTATTAAAACTATATCAATGAATGAATGATTGAAAATAATTTTATTATTCTGGGACTAGTGTCCCTTTAGAACAAATTAAAAATACAGAATATATATTAACATTCTGGTGTCTCCATAAAATACAATTAAATATTTACAGGATGGTAATAAAATAAAAGTACAGATAATGAAAAGATATAAAAACGTACAAAAATCAATAAATCACAAAATATCTGGGGGTACTTTGAGATTCTTACAACTTAGATTGTTAAGTGCATTTCATGATCAACTGGATTGGGAATGGAGTAGGTGTTTGAGAGATATTTGAAAGAGGATACTGATTTTGCGTGTCAAATATCAGAGGGGATAGAATTCCAGAGGGAGACAGCTTGAATTAAAAAGGATTTGTCAAACGCAGCAGTTCTGTAAGAAGGAGGATAGAGGTCGGACTTACAGGATTGAAAGGAGCATTTCAATTGTAGGATCTGTAAAAAATAGGGGGGTCGCGGAGTTCTAATAGCCTGGTATAGGAAGGTAGCAAGGAAACACTGATGAATGAATGAATGAATGAAAATAATTTTATTATTCTGGGACTAGTGTCCCTTTAGAACAAGTCACAAATACAGAGTATATATTAATTTTGGTGTGTCCATGAAATACAATTTAATATTAACAGCTTGATTCGGAGTACAATAAAGTTATAAATGATAAAAAGATATAAATACGTGTAAATATAAAATATACAAAAAAAGTAATTAAGTGAACGAAATATCAATGAATTACAAATAATCAGAGTATCTGGGTGTACTTTGAGGTTTTTACAGCTTAGGTTTTTAAGTGCATTTCGTGATCAATCGGATTGAGAATGGAGTAGGTGTTCGAAAAGGAGAGATTTGAAGGAGGATATCGATTTTGCGTGTCGAATATCTGAAGGTATAGAGTTCCAGAGGGAGACAATTTGTATTAAGAAGGATTTATCAAATGCAGCAGTTCGGTGAAGAGGAGGATAGAGGTCGGACGTAGGGGATCTGGTGGGACGGGATTGAAAGGAGAGTTTAAATTGTAGAATCTGTAGAATATAGGCAGGTCGCCATGTTGTAATGGCTCGGTATAGGAAGGTAGCCAGAAAATATTGACGGTGGTAGGACGGATAGAGCCACTTCAACTTGGTCTAGAACTGGGTAATATGTGTATCCCTTGAGATCCCGAAGATAAAGCGGATTGAGCAATTCATTAAACATTTAAGTTTGGCTTCGAGTTCTCATACACCATGCAGCCATAGTCGAAGTGGGGGAAAACAAGAGAGGAGACCAGGAGTTGACGGGTTTTGAACGGAAGAAGATAACGTAGATGGTTAAACTGTTTCAGGGTGGATATAGTATGGTGGGAAATTTGGGAGATGTGTGGTTTCCAGGAGAGGCTTTGATCTAGGATAACTCCTAGGTTTTTAACGGTGGTATGGAAGGAGAGAGATGAGTTGTTCAGAAGAATATTAGGAGGTGTTGAAACGGATTCGAGGAGTGAGGGAGATCCGATCAGGATGGCTTTTGTCTTCTCCGTATTCAATGTCAGCTTATTAAGATTTGCCCATGCGCATATTCTATTGATGTCTTGTTGCAGTTTCAGGATGGCATTAGAGGAATCTGTCGGGTTGAAGGAAAGATAAATTTGGACGTCATCGGTGTATAGGTGATATTGACAGTGTATGATAGAGGTAGGGAGGTCATTAATGTAGATGGAAAAGAGGGTGGGGGATAATGAGGAACCTTGTGGGACGCCTCTGGACAGAGACATTGATTGGGCGTTATTAGGAACTACAACGTCCTGGGAGCGATCGGTGAGAAAGGATTGGAACCACTTAAGGGTACTGGATGATAAGGATATATTTTTAAGTTTGGTTAGGAGGATATTATGGTCAACTGAGTTGAATGCTTTAGAGATGGCGGTATGACGATAAAGCCACTTCATTTCAGTGTAAAACTGGGTAATATGCTATCCCTTGAGATCCCGAAGATATAGTTTATTTAGCGATTCATTAGATGTTTTAAGTTTGACCTGGAAATTTTATAAAAATGTTATATTAAGACACTATGAAATTGTGATGCTCTAGTAATCAATTAATATAATTTTTTATTTTTAGAATTCCGGAGCAGATAGTGGTGTTTCCACCTCGCAGGCTACTTCGAGTTCCACCCCAGCCCCGATTGTTAACCAGCCAGGTATTATTAACCTCCTGTAGCAGTTGTTACGTCTGCTTCTCATTCTTATAATGAATTAACAACTCCTTTATCACATATTGCTGCATCTGTTTCAGTTTCCTCCTCATCCAGAGTTCAACCTCAACCATCAGTGTCTATCGGTGTTCAACCTTCGACATTCACCATTGGTGTTCCACCACCGTCAACGATGATTGGATCTCAATCTTCTGCGACTGTCGGAGCTCAAGCTTCTTCGACTGTTGGAGCTCAAGCTTCTGCGACTGTTGGAGCTCAAGCTTCTCCGTCTATAGGATTCCAACTTCCTGCTGCTATCGGTGTTCCACCACCTGCAACAATTGCACCACCAGCAGCAATCGGTGTCCAACCTCCTCCAAGAATGACTGTTGGACCCCAAGTTCCAGTTTCAAGCTCAGCGGTGCCTGTTATGATTCCTACTCCAGTTGTGCCTCAGGCAAATCCGACACCACAATCACAATTTTCACCACAAGCTTCTCCTGCGCAGTCATCATATCAAGAAGAAATTCCTGTCTTAGATAGTTCATGGACTATTGTCAACGATGGTAAATATATAAATTTTAATTTTATTTGATTTATACAGTTTTTAAATTGGATATTTGCATGGGGAAAAAAAAGTGTAAATTGTATTTGCAATAGAACTCAAGTGATAAAGAACTTATAACATTGAGTTGCATTTTTTAAACAATCCAAAGAAAAATTCACCTTGTCTGCCCTTCCAGAGTCCCTCTTTTCAAAAATGGCAACTGATTAAAGAATATAAAGCCAGTAACATGAAAATCGAAACGGTCAAAACATGGGGAAAGTTTTTATTTTTTTTAACTTATGCATATGGATTCAAAAATATAAAAAACAAAATTGTTTACACGAGCAACCAATTGGGAAACTTTTTACTGCCAAAAAAGCCAAAATTTTTCATCTTGTTTTGTTCATCCGTCTATAACTCCTAAATGGTGCATCAAGAAATTAAAAAACATCAAATTGTGCATCTAACAAGTTCCTCCAAAACTTAATAATTTATTTAAATGATATGATAGAAAACCCCAGTCAACGAATGCTGATTATTTCCAAATTTGTGAAAAACTGAGACAATCCTACTATAAATAGCCCTGCAGCTTCAAAATTAATTTATATTAAATTAATATCCTATTCACCATCAGGCTCTCGTGGATGAACCTCCACTCTGTAAACAACTTGGTTTGGGGGCAATTGCTAATAGCCTTCCGTTTTGTCAGGGGTCCTGGTTATTTACACTCATTAATTTTTAATTTTTAAACTAAACCCCGGCACTAGATATAGGCTTTTTGACGATGTTTACTGTCGTTGGGAATTCGGGAACCTAATGCTTTTTTGACAGTTAGTGACAAGAATATATATATATATTCTTGTCACTAACTGTCAAATATATATATATATATATATATATATATATATATATAGATATATAGATTTGTAATATATAAAGATTTGTAATTGGGACCCCGAGACGCTCCCGTGTCTCCCACCACTACACTGAGTTAGGGTGGCTCTTCCCCTCCTTAAGAAGACAATATTTCCTAGGCACTTTCCTTTATCAAATCATTAACGATCATCGTCCTTCTTATGCCCACAACCTTCTCCAATTTAAGTCCTCAATCCATTCCCTCACTACAAGATCTCGACCCTCTGACCTATACATAGCCCGCTCTGTCAACTTTTGGAATTCCCTCCCGATCAAAATTTGGCATGCCCCTTCCCTATACACATTCAAAAACCTCCTATTCCAATTCCTGTTCCAAAAACAGTCCGATACCAGCTAACTATTAATATTATATATGTTTTGTGAAGCAATCATATAATCATAATACTTGATACTAGAGATAGTACATGCATTTCCTACTATCGACGTAGGAATTTCAATACATACATTTTTTTTTTTTTTTTTAATTCAATTATAATTAACTGTTTATTTTTATATATATATATATATATATATATATATATATATATATATATATATATATATATATATATATATATATATATATTCAAGTAAAGTTTTTTTATTTTATTTTATGAAATGAACTCACTGTATCGCTTTTTCGTTCTTCATTTCTCAAAGTGTATGTTTATGTTGTTCAACCCTTATATATAATTTTGTTCATAGTTCAAGTGATTCGTTCGTAGTTTTAATTGTTTTGTTCATAATTTTAAACGCTCTGTACATAGTTTTATCTTTATTGTATATAGCTTGTGCACCTAAGGTTTTCTTTACTTTTTATTTTATTTTATCAATTTTATTTATTGTTTCAAACGTACAGGCCAGTAATATTCTATTATTTTGTACATTATTGTTATTCTGAAGGGACTTAGTCCCAGAATAAAGTTTTTTATTCTATCTATATATATATATATATATATATACATGAAATGTGGGACTAAGTAAATACACTTTGAATGAAATGAATCACCTGATTTGTTATTCTTGGAATGTGAGGCATATAGGACAACTAAATACAATCCACTCTTGTATAACAAAATAATTTATTTCCACAACTGAAATAAATGAATTAATCTTCTTAATCTTCAGTGGAGTGGGCTTTTCTCCTCTGGTATCCCCTCTTCCTGTCCCGTTCTCAATTCTCTTCTTTGTTCTCCCTCGTCCCTCTCTAGCTGCTGCCACCTGCCACCACTTTTCCAGGCTTCTTCCTTTCTTTGTTCTGTATCTTTTTCGTCGATTTGATATTTGTCAATAAACAACTTGTCCACAGCACAATTGAGTACAATTCATTGTGCAACCTTACATTCCTTCTCATTCCTTCACTCAATGTCACATTAAGGAGTAAATACTAGAGGCCATCTACTACAATTCACTCCTGTCTCATTAAAAAAGAAATTGCTAATGATTTGGATTCAATTTAAAGCAAAAATAGGTTCTTGACAGCGATCAGCATTTATTTATAAATTTAAGTCGGGAAATGCAAGAAGTTAGTTTTATAATAAGTTAAAAGTAAGTAATTTTTGTTAATCTTAAAATGAAGAATATGAAATTTCACTTAATTACATATTTGTTCTCATCCTTGTCAGCTATTGAAAGATTCCGAATCAAACAGTGTTATCCTTGTCGGCTGCAGGTACCACAAAGCTATTCTCTTAATTTTCAATTTTTTAAAATTTAGATAAATGTTTCATGGATTTGAAATATGTCTTGGTATAGTGAGAAATAGTTATATAAGATGAATCCATGAAAAATATAATATCAATATTTAAGTTTCCTTAAGAATTTCAGCTAGTGGTACATTTACTCTTCAGTAATATCTTGTTATCTGCGTGATTTGAATTCTCACCAATGATATAAGTATGTTATGGTTGACAGAATGACTCAGGAAATGTATTGAATACATTCTCTGAATTGAGTTTCCAAATTTATTAATTTTTATTTTCTAACTTCTAAATTAATAAGTACATATTTCAATATCTGTTATAGGAATGGGAGAATCAATGCTGATCCCGACACCTGCACCCGCGCCGCAGCCTGTGGCATCGCCACCTCAGCCTGTAGCATCTTCATCTCAGCCGGTAGCATCGCCTGCCCAGAGTACTCAGGAAACCGAGCGAATTTATCCTCAATTATATACACCTGCACAATTGAGTAAGTTTATTGTAACATCCCTCTTATATTTTAAAATAATAATAATATAACCTCGAACAATCACTTTCTACCATTGGGATACTTGCTAAATAAATAAGAGGTTATTAAATAATAAACAAAATTATGAGAGTATTAATATATTTATTTATCTCAGGTGTGTGTTACTGACAATCAGATAAACTCAGACAAACTAAAATTAACTATACTAAACACTGTTTGATTTTAAAATAAAGTCAAATTTGGATTGACAAGCTAACCTTCTCTATACAATGTTTCTTCCTTTGTGGCACTGAATTCATTTGTCTTCACATATTTTCTTATGTTCTGCCAAACAACAACTTCCAAAATGGTAATACTATTACTGAGTTTTACCCACTGGAGCCAGTATCACTTCTCCTATCCTCTCTTCATTGCAGTCACACAACAACTGTTTGCCAAAACAAAAACCTTTGTCCCTCTCCTCTTTGGGATTTTCACTCTTGGAAACTACAGAGTAGCCATTTTCTTTTCCCTGCGCTAGTAGAACTAGATTAGCTTGCCTTTTAACTGTTCAACATTAATTTATTAAATCATTTTTACCCACTTCCAATAAAGGCGTACATTACATTATATTAAAATTACATATTTATATCCTGATATTGATATATAAGATATAAGCTCCTAATAGATTATGGCGCAGGTCCCTTTTTACTTTCACTTACCTATATATATATATATATATATATATATATTTATTTATTTTTTCCTGTTCTTCCCTACCTCGCCTTTTAGGCTATACGGGATTTTCCCAGACCAGAGAGTGAAGGCGGGGAATTTAAAATCCCCTCTGGGACCGGGACGCGAACTCGTGACTATTTTCATATCATAGAATCATATATCCGGTTGCCGGGCAACGGCGGTGCAGTGCACACGCGTTATCCCATTCGGCCACCCCGCCCTCAATTCACTTACCTATATATGAAATATGTAGTAAGCAAAAGTATTGCGATTGTGAACAATTTTGAATCATGTGTTTTCAACAGAAAAATACATTTTGAGATCCCCCGAGTTCAAATAACGTAGTTCCACAAAATGGTCTGTGTGTGTGTGTGCGTGTATGAACAGCCTAGCTCACAAATGAAAAGTCGTACAAAACTGAAATTGCGTATTTAAGGTTTGTTTATACCTGCGATATTACAGAAACTTATTCAAAATTAGCAAACAGGATGTTGTGCTTTATATTATCGACTTAACACATTTTTATGATTTTCTCAAAAACTGCTCTAACGATTTTGATTAAACTCACTAGATCATTTAATATTATTAAGTGGATTTCAATTTAAACTAGGTTTTTATCCTCATCGAAGAAACCTGGCAGGGCTTAAATGTTTTCAAAATTTCTTCCTCTGAAGTACCTTCAATTTTTCTTTATTTGAAATAATTATCAGGGCTAAGAAAAGAACCAGATAATAATAGGTATGAGAAACTATAAACATTGAATAATAAAGAATTAAAATTAAAAAAAGGTGAAAGGTATAGACTAAAAAATCTAGATAGAAAAAAAAACTTGAAGTAAAATGAAGTAGGTAGAATAATAATGGCAACAAAGTAGGCACTAATGAAATAAACATAATCAAAATAAGGTAACATAAGAAATGAAAAATGGTAATCTTAGAATAAAATGTAAAACAGAGAAAAGGGATATGAAGTTATATAAAGAAATAATAGATATAAATAGAAAATTGAGATATTTTATAATCTATCAAAAATACTGACTACGTATAGGAGAATAAAAAGTTAAAATTATGTTCCTTTTTTCTTTTCTTTTTTTTTTTTTTTACTGACTTAATTAAAATAATCAATAACTATTTAATAATTTTTATCAGTGCCTTAACATAAATGTTTAAGATTGTGTCTAATATAAATGTTAATTATTATAAAGCTTATTCAGTATTTTAAAGTAAATAATTAAAGAATACAGGAAAAATAAATCCTCTTTAAATCTCTGTCTGGAAGTTACTGAACTATCGATACATTCGATAGTTTTTCATCGATAGTATGGAACTATCGCAGTGCCCAACTATCAACTATTGCCCAGCCTTGGTAGGATGTTAATAATTTGATAAAAAGGGAAGAGGTCTGAACGCAAACTATAAATAATGCCATCTATGAAGTCAGTGCTGAGGCTTTTAAGTTATAATAAAAACTTTTCTGGAAAAAGTGATCTAAGCGCCTAAAAAATATATATAAAAAAATATATATATATATATCAAATTGACAGCAAAATACTACAAAAGTATTTTAATAAATGCATTATAAATATTATAATGCTTTATTCAGCAAGGTTTTGATTTTAATCAAAAGTGTCTGATTAAAATCGGTGCTTGATTTGTTAAAAGTTGTGTTATTTACGATATATGCTGATACAATTAAGATATGTAACAGATAATGTTCCACAGATCTTTCATTTTTTTATGGGTCTGTTTCTGTTTCTAGGATAATATTGGATGATTCCGTAAATAAAGTCATAATTCTCTGAAATTGTAGTAAATATTTAACCAGTTCAGGCATCATCAAGAGAGAAAAAGACAAGATAAAATAAATGCTGGCATTTATGACATCTTAAGGTGGGTTTACATCGGAGATAACTTTGCTAATAGCACGAGTTATTAACTTATTACTAATATTTTTTAAAGTTTGTTCTGAAAAATATCAATAACATTTGCTAATATTTAACATTCAGTTTGAGCCCGACTCAGCTTAATGATAACGCATCGAAATATTTGGTGTTATTTTTTTGCTGTGATGATGCCTGTTCCTGAATTGGCTATTTGTTTTTTCAAATTTTGAATCGCTCTTTTATAAAAATAAATTGTTTCTTTAAGTATATATTTATGTGTATATGATTTTTAATAACTTTTTTATTTTAAGGAAAATGTATTTTAGGTGATATTTTATAGTTGTTTGGTATTATCAATTGTAAAGTTTAGTCTGAATGCAAAATATTAATATTCGCTGTAGCGTATAGAATCATAATGGGTACTTCTTGACTAGCTATAGGCCGGCACTGACTGCTATCTGTCAATGCTTATAACCTGAACATTGATAATTCTGATAACACAGTGATAAGCCTTCTCCAACTTCCTATCTTTTTTATTATTGTATTATTTTCGTATTATTGAAACTGTAAACAGATACAAAAACAAATGTAATAAAAAAAAAACTTTTATTTTACGACATATATTAATAAAATTTTAAAGCTGTTAAAAACGAAATCCTCAAGCCCTCCAACCATGTTCCTTTCCTTATTGAAAGTTTTGTGTCACAAGTCCTACGACAGCATCTCCATTTGGCGTTCCTGGTTAACTCCATTCGATGACCTCGTTCACACAATTTCACGTCTGCAAGTATCCCAACATTTTGAAAATATTGAATTGCCTGTTCTTCTGAAGACGGCCAATCCCATATTCTAAGAAGATTCATAATATGACAAAAATAAACGGGAAAAAAAATAAAGAAACACAAAGGGGCCACAAACTAAAAAAAAATGAAAAATAAAAACAAACGGGCCAAAAACTAAAAATAATGAAAAATAAACACAAACGGGCCAAAAGTAAAGAATTTAATAAGTGAACGTAATAAGGGAATAACTGAAAACTAAACAATGCAATAACTCAAAAGTTTGGCGGGATAAGAAGAGGGAGGTTATGTGACGTGACGTTAGATAAGATAGATAACAAGTGAGGTTTCGTGCCGGCCTGCTAGTCAAGAAGTACCTCATAATGGAGTCAAACCTCTATACATTGAGCATGATGGTTCATTGAAAAAAATTCGGTATATTAAAATAATACATCTTTCTGGCAGTTTTGATTTAAAATCAACTCGTTACTATAACGATTTGTTAATTGTCATTTTAAAGATTTATAATTAAAATTATTATTTTAAAATTCTATCCTTAACAGAAGCCTAGTCTATAACACTGATAATTTTGTTTGTTTGGATGTCTAGGCGCGAAACATCCAGGTCATTAGTGCCTGATCAAATAAATAACACTACTTTTATACTGTTCAGGTGGCTGGTACAAAAAATAAATATAAAAAAAAAGGATTTAAAAAAATTAATAGAATTAAATAAAGTAATAATAGACCCTTATAGATAATAAGATAATAAATAAATGAAGCTTTAACATTAAAATATAAAAAAAAAAAAAATCTACAAAGGATCATTATAAACTTATCATATATGTTTTATAAGTCTTTCATTGTCTAGGAACTTGATAACTTTGGTAACGATTTCTTCTTGGTTTCCCAGAGATGCTGATATATTCTGAGATATTCCGAGATCTTTTAACCTTGCGGTGTAAAAAGAACACTCTTCCAAAATATGTTTTGTAGTTAATGACTGGTCATACTTTTGACATCTGGGGATAAGATCTTTTGTTATGAGGTGGAGGTGTGTCTAGTATGTCCGATCCTCAGACGCGTGAAGACGACTTCTTCTTTACTGTCTTTAATTTGTTAGGTGCGCATTTTTGTCCTGTTTGTCTGTCCTACCGTCTTGGGATATGGTTTCTCTTAAAGGTCGTACAAGTTCAGATGGTTACCACGGCCTGGCAAGGTAAGGGCTTCTTTAAAAAGCTCACAGCTATCTATACAGGTCACTGTGAGCTAAACAATCATATGTTCAATCTCCGAGTAATGACGAATCCGCTATGCAGATTCTGTCAGGAGGAGAATGAAACAGCTTTTCACATCATATACAGATGTGATAGATTTACAAGGCTGAGACTGGTGGTATTTGGGGAGGAACAAATGGATCTCCCCAGAAGTTATGAGTCGGTCAATCCAATCAGTCTACTTAGGTAGGCGGAAGCGACAGGATTAACGTTTTAAATAAAACGACCAACTGAAATTGGCACACAATGGACCCAGTAGGGGTTGACGTGCTTATGGCCAACATAAAAAAAAAAAAGGCTTCTTTTGCTGCTCTATCAGCCACTTCGTTTCCTTTAACGCCTACTGGAATTTCAAGGTTCAAAAATTCACTAACACTGGAATCTTAAAACTCTCTAAGAACTAACTTTTTAGATGAACGAAAATGAACAGAACTGAACTCTGTGTTGCCAGTAAAGTCTTTAAATAGTCCGTGAAACCTTCTGTGCAAGATCAGACCATTCTCTTGAATCTCATTAATTGAAGACCTTTTCTAATAATAGAATTATCGTGGGTACTATATTTTTTTTTTAATTTAACTGTGACTTTTTGTTAAATATATTTAAAATTTATTCAATATATAGAGGTTCTAAATGTAATTGTCCTCAGTTATAATTTTATATTCGGGGAGTGGGTAGCTCAGTGGTAGGATACTGAGCTTCCATTGCTAAAGATCCCAGATTTGAATCTCGTTTCATTGGCCGTGGGGCGACCCTAACTAAGGATACCCTTCTTGGGCACATCCAGCCTCTATGATGCGAGTATCCTTAATTAAATAATTAATTGAGCACTGGTATAATGAATGGCGCATTACAGTGAATGAGTCGAAATGCAAACATATTACCTTTACTCTCCGACACACTTCCTGTCCACCAGTACACTTTAATTCCATCCAGCTTCCTTTCTCAGACACAATCCGTTATCTTGGTTTTCATTTAGACCGAAGACTGACATGGAACCCACATACAAGACTCAAAAGACAAGAACCTACGATATGGCCACCTATATAGACTACTGAACAGAAAATCTCAACTTTCAATTGACAACAAACTACTGATCTACAAGAAAATACTGAAACCTATTTGGACCTACGGACTGGAACTGTTGAGGACAGCAAAATTTTCTAACATCAAACGCATTCAATCCTTTCAGCCCAAAGTCCTTCGAACAATAGTTGATGCTCAATTCTATGTAACCAACCAAACCCTACATCATGACCTTAATATCCCATTTGTCCTAGACCTTATCCCTCAAAAATTTTCCAAATTCGACCAAAACCTCACATATCATCCAAATCCCCTTGCACAATCTCTATCTAGCTCCAGCCATCCCTACAATCCTCCTCGAAGGTTGAAGCGGCAGTGGCCCAGAGACTTATTGTAAGAATATATAGAAGTTATGGCAATGGCTAGATTCTCCACTCAAGCCATGTATGTCTGGTTTATTTATTTTGTTAGATTGGTTTATTTTTATTTAGTTCAATATAATTTAGTTTATTTACAATTTACTTTAGTATTATTATATTGCCTCGCGCAGGCTCATTACCGCGTATGGGGAGCGTCCCACGGGTGGCGGATGTGGGGATGGTCGGTGGAAATTCCTTAGAAGTTCCTCCCGGCTAAGTCCGATGGACTCGCTGACCAACAATGAGAGGGGCCCTCCAGACTTGCTGGAGGGAGGTGACCTCCAGACTTGCTGGAGGTAGGGGCCCACCAGACTTGCTGGAGGGTGTGACGTAGGATTGAACGCCCTACTCACATATCTTTAGTTCACCAAACACAACAAATAGTCATGGATCTCCCTTAGGTAAAACGCTCATTATCCGGAAGTAAACTAGTCCCCCGTTCGGGTCTCCGGGTGGGGACTGCTTTAGGGGATTCATGGCGCAAGTTGAAATATACGATTGGTGGTGTCGGCATCGAACCTTCGGGTTCGCTAAGCCTTTTATTATTATTATTATTATTATTATTATATTGCGGTTTATTATTTTTATTTATTGTGTAGTATGAATGAGCTACTCTATATCACTATTACTATTGTTCTTGAATGTGACAGATTGTAATCTCTCAATGAAGAAGTTTAAAAAAATTAAGGGGGAAAACCAGGCGGTTGAGCGTGATCTCTATCAAATCACCTTGCACAACCCATTGACCTAGAAACAGTGATTTTCCTAAATAGCACTGAACCAAGACCCTTCATTGGTTATAGTGGTATAGGTTTTTTTTTTTTTAATTTTATATTTACCGAACTTAAATAATTACTTATTTTATTTTAAAAGCTCATAAATTTACAGGTGATTATTATTGAAGTTGTGCTTTAGAGGCATATTCTGATCCTTCATCCTTACGCATTGGACCTCTTCCTCGTACTCCAACCTTCCCTTATAGGTAATCCTATATCCTATCCTTTCAACTTTAATTTTCCTCCAGATCTACGTATTCCTTCTTATAATAAGCCATGGCTTATAAAAAAATGGCAGTTTCTCAACAAAAAGTTAATATTTTTATTCTTTAATTTAACATTCTTTATTTGTACGGGGTCGTTCCCCAAAACAAATAAATATATATTCTATTCTATTCTAATTATTTTTTAAAATTCTTTTCCAGCTACTGAAGAAGCATTAAATATCATGGAGCAGCTTGGTTTTAAAAATGAAGAATGGTTGCGCCAACTTATTGAAAATAAGAAAGGCAACATACAAGAGGTGTTGAATTTCCTCTCTCCGATTCCTAAACCAAAGCCATCCACTTATCTCCAATAATTATGCCTCATATAGTCTCATTGCATAATAAATACCTAATTTTTTATATATATTTTTACTTTATGGTTTATATAATAACAGTGGGAATTGAGTTTATATAATATATAGTTGGGCTTTTTATTATCTGTTATTAGGTCTCAATATGTATAAGTACTTTATGTATGTTTGACTTATATACATGTATAATTTTGTTTATTATGTTATCAATTTGCAATATTGTTGTTCTTGTTTAGTTGATGTATGATTACCAAGTTCGATTCGAAGCTGTGTTTGGCTGTGTTTCAAATTATTATTTGGGTGGTTTATTTTTTAATAAAGATTAGTTTTTAGTTTCAATGACAATTGTAGTTGACTACATAATGTTTAGTATTTTCTTTATGGTATATGCGTATACTGCTGTATTATTAAATGTTACATTATTTTCTAGAATTTATAAATAGTTAAAATTCTAGTGTATTACTTATCTGTTTGATTATTCATAGATAATGTATCCAAATGTTATTTGTAATTAGATACAATAAATGTTTAACAAATGAGTTATTATTGTGTTTCAAGATAAAGAATTTGTTAATAACCTAACTCTGATTCTTCTATTCAAAATTTGAGAACGTTCCAAATGAGACTTACGACTAGTTTACAAGATGCAGTTTGTAGGTTAAACTCGAGTTGCACTGTTGACAAGCTGAAGATCAATCAAGTAACGGTAACTTATAAACTCTATGCCTGTATTTTAAACCTTGTGTTCACAAATTTATGTATTAATTAGTTGGTTGCCCCATGTTCAGTGATCAAATAATAAATTAATAAGAAAATACAACAATGTAACAAATCATAAAAGAAATCGATTGTTACTTTCTGGCTAAATATATTCTCCACAAAAGAAACAAAAATTAAATTAAAACTTCGTTAATGTTTGGAACTAACATGTTTTCAAATTTCAATTAGCTGTATCTTTGCTAATAATAGTCTGAGTTTGATGATTTTTTTTTTCCTTTTGTAGGGAATTTAGTAATCTTTTATATAATTATGGATATGGACAGGGACAGGGAAAAGTGTGTAATTTTTGAGATATTTGCAAATAAAGTTTCTTTTCTTTCATAATATTTTGCCTCAATTTTCGGGATGATTGGTCTATTAAGCCCGCCTGAAGGAGAAGGAAACCTTCAAAATTGTTGGTTCAATCTATGGATTTGGTGAGGAATTAAGGATGATGTGTTTTACCCACAAAAAACACCTTTGATAAATAATATAAATTCCTCCTGTCTCGATCACAGAGACCTCAAGTCGACGAAATGAGAGTACTGCAATTAACGTAAGGTTGTATGGATGCGAACTCAATGCCTTGCGTTATCTCGAAAATAGTACGTTTTGGGGCTTAACAACGCAGGATCAGATATTTCTGGAGGAACTATCCAGTTAATTCATCTTTCTTCGGTCCGAATATTTTACGCAATACTTTATTTTCAAAAACCTTAAGACGTTGCTCATCTCTTAATGTAAGCGGCCAAGTTTCACACCCGTAAAGAACTATAGGTAGGATAATGGTTTTATAGATTCTAGTCTTAAAATTTCGTTTTTTCTAGTTATAGATCCTGTATACTTAACCTTCTCTACCTGTTGAAACATGTTACCATCTATATCGATATCACGAGTAGTATCGCCATTTTTGCAGCTAACCATATATTTTGTCTTACCCGCGTTTGTCTCGAGCCCTAGTTCTTTACCGGCTTTCATTAACGTTGCCGTATTTAGTTTTATAGTTTCAAGGTCTTCGCTTAACAGTACCAGATCATCAGCATAGCCCAGCACGGGTATTGTCCCACCCAGATCCAACCCTTTCTCGGTACGCATTACCTCCCTAATGGCATGTTCTAATGCCAAATTGAACAGGACAGGCGAAAGGGAATCCCCCTGTTTTCAACCCGAACGAACCTCAAATTTTTCGGACAGATTATTACCGGTTCTAACTTAACTTTGTCTCCGTCAAGCACATCCTGACTAGATTTACTAGTTTTTTTTTTTGGAATCCCCTGCTCGATTAGAATATTATACAGTTTCTGGCGGTCAATAGAATCGTAAGCCTTTTTAAAATCTATATACAGCTGGTGAACAATATCATTGTATTCTAATTGTTTCTCTAATATTTGCAGTAAAGAAAATATTTGATCAATAGTCGAACGATTCCATCTGAATCCGCATTGGTAGTATCCGATGATTTCCTCGGCGTATTCCGTGATTCAACTGGTTAAGATTAAAGTGAATATTTTATAACATACCGGAAGGAGTGAAATTCCTCGATAGTTATTACAATCCGTCCTCGGGTCCTTTTTGTGAATCGGAATAAGAATAAATTCTTTCCATTCTTCTGGTAATTTCTCATTCTCTCAGATCTTTTTGACCAACCGATGTATTTTAGAAAATCCAGCTTCCTTGCAAGCCTAAATTAGTTCACAATGAATATTATCGGTTCCCGCTGCTTTTTAACATTTTTATTTTCCGATAGATACTTCAACTTCCTCTTTACTTGGTCCTTCTATTAACGGTTCAGCACTCTGGTACAAAGTGCCTCTTTAACTTATTTATTATGTCTACCTGATCGGTCAGAATATTGTTATTATCATCCCTTATTCCAGACGTTACGGGCCCTAAACATTTACGGGCCCTAAGATATAAACATCTGTTTATATCTTTGTACATGTCGCTTACGTTATTTTCAATTCTATTAGTTTCTATTTCAATTATTTTATTTTGATAATTGAATAAAGAAGAAAAATGCTTATCCAAGTCGAAAATGAATTTCCGGAAATAATAGTCAGAAAGTATACGTATAATATACCGTCGGGAAGCGGAGAATTTTAGGAAAAATAATGTCTAGTAAATAAAATTATAGAAGGTAATGGAGAGTTACGAATAAAATATAAATAATAATTTCTGAAAACTGACTGTTTATGGGTTCAATTCAAACTTTTTCTGATAATTTTATTTAAGGATATTCAAGTTGAATCTAGAAAAAAAATCATTATAATTAGTTTAAATTCAAGCTTAATTAATTAATGGTCTAAACAAATTTTTTCTCAACTTTTTAAAAATGAAAGATGCCCTTTGTTATTAAGCCACTCATATGTGTTTTCTATTTTCCTTCTTTTCCATTTTGTCATACTGAGCCACAAGTAGCGCGTGGCCCCAAGTAAAGCTTCCCCTTGAAACCCTTTTAATTTGTAGTCCAGTTTATAAAGCTAATGAGACATAGGTGGGCCGGACATGTGATTAGAATGAAGCAAGACGAAATGCCATCCAAAATCCTAAGGGAGGTAATCTTTGGTGTGAGAAGAGCAGCCCGACCACGACTTCGGTGAGAGGACTGTGTGGCTTTAGATGCCCGGACTATAATGGATATCCGCAGTTGGAAGGCAGCAGAACTTGATAGAAACCACTGGCAGTCGACACTAGAGCAGGCCAAGACTCGACTTCAAGGGTCGTAGTGCCGGATAAGTTAGTAAGTAAAATAATTATCGTAGGACGGATGTACTATGCCAGAAACCTTCGCGAGAGCGTACGCAACAGCTTCTCAAAGTTTCATAGCGATCGGATGAATGGTTTAGTAATGCATAAAGGGCAAACGGACATACATTCATTTATATATATATATTCTGTTATGAAGAAGAGGAGAATAATCAAATGTCTTGGGAGGATATAGGAGTTCATACGCCATTGACCTTTGGGGGGAGAGGGATGGGTACCTCTGGGTAAACTCCTCAAAATTCGAGGTTTAACGTTTCAAAATACAAATAACCCTAAAATTTAAGGGAAAACAATCGGTCCGTTCGTTATTCACTGCTTTTCGTCGATGCCAATGGATCAATTTTTAATATACAGGATGTTTCAGGGTTAAGTGGCCAAACTGCAAAAAATGAACTAAGGACCTCAAAACAAGAAAAAAATGTCCTCTGAAGGTATGTCCTCAAATGCTTTGCTTAGGAGATATTCACACCTAAAGATTTTCGTTGTTATGAATTATTTAGGTTATATGCAATAAATAAAACCTATTTATTTGTTCTAACTACTTTATTAATTAAATGTAAACATTTAATCCTTTTTTCATAACTAAATATTAATTAATAAATGGCAAATTCGTATTATATTTTTTCAACATGAAAATTTTAATACTGTGACGTCTTAAAACTACCACCGATATCATGCTATGTTTTTATCAATATAAAAATCTACCTCTTTGTCCTTTTGCTTGTAAAATCATCGATGATATCCCTGTTGATACCCGGCATTCCACAAGGCGGTTAACCGCTTTTTTGTTGTTTGGATATGTATTAGTTAAATATTTATGTAAACTGAATTTATTTTGTTTTTGTTTTTATTAAATAGTATCTCAAAATTTATTTAGTTGTAGTGCTATTGCTCTTATCTCTTCTTCACGTGGTACAATTTCTGCTTACAAAACTAGCTTGTGCTTAACAAAACTTGATAATATATAAAATGAGCAATATTTAACTTTAATATAAGTAAAATATGGCTGAGGCTGATTTTTCTGATCTTGTGTATGAAGCAGAACAGCTTGCTTCAGAATTCGAAGGCATTGGTGATTTGCCCAAAGTTGAGAGGTCTTTAAAACAAATACTTGAAGAATCTCAGACATTATGGTCGAGAGTAACTGCAACAGGAGCTCAGGATATTCAAGCGTAAGATTTTAATGGGGCATTATGTGTGTAAAATTCATAAACAACTTTCAACATTGTTATGTATTGTGTTGTAGGAATTTATTGTTAGGTACGAAAGGCCTCGATTTGCCTCAGGTTACTCAGAAGCTTCAGATCTTGAGTTCACGAAAGACATTCGAACCTTTAGATCCTATACCAGTGACTGATATTCAAAATTTTCTGAAAAATGAATCAGAAAATGCAATATTACAACTCATTGAATCTACCAACAAATCAGTAAGTATGCCTCAACTCTAACTGAAAAGGAATTGTATGGAGTTAAATCATCTCTATAAAGCGAGTAGAAATTGAAAGCAGTGATGTAATTCAAATTAATTATGGTCCCAATTTTAACTGGTGAAAGCACCAATTGGGAGTTTGTGCAAATTATAAATCGTGATCTTAATAAAGGAATGTAACACTATGAAAACATCAATACACAGCTGTTCTCAGAATTCCATTTACAGTGTAATCGAAAAATCTTGACCCACCCATTAAAGTAGAACATCACTCTTAAAGCAATGGCAAGATGTATTTTGTTGTTTTCCTCCATCTCTTGATTGACTAGAAACAGACTGATTTGATTTTCACGTTGTTCACTACTCTGTTGAGTATTATTTTTCATTTTGTCGTTTTTATAGTTTAGGGAAACCTTCGATGTCGTTTTCTGCTTGTTCAAGTGTTTCAAAAGTTTAACTTTTACTGGATGTTGAACTGAAGTTCAAAAGCCAAATATATAATTTTTCTTAAATGTTATGATGCAAATTTATTAATAGGGATGCTTAGGTTACTCTCCATTTCTTTTAGAAACCATAAATTTAGAATTTGAAATAATCATGTAATCCTTAAGAAATGAGAAATATTAGAAATACTTTTTTGTTTTGTTTACTTGATAGTTGATTGTTGCAAATAATTGAGGAAGAAGGTCTGAGGTGGCGTTCCTAATGAGGCTTGCAATGGTGGAAAATATTTTATTTCAATAGTATGAAATATTTTTTCTTAATGATATTTACAACTGTATTAAATAAATACATCTAGTAAATTTGAACATATGGATATAATGACATGAAAACACTTGTGGAGTTACTACCCAATGGTAGCACTCTAATGATATGTCTACATTAGGAGATCACAGGGCCATCTTCTTTTCAGACATCTCGGAGGATTATCAGGAATTGAAGAGAAAGCAAGGTTAGATACGAGAGGGTTGGGTTGATTCTGAAGTTTATTATGGAAGGATAGATATCTGGATTGGGCCAGATCTGAAACATTAAGGTCATTATGGATGGCTTTATTTGTAACAAAGTAGGGAGCATTGAGGATTTTATGAAGGATTTTGGATTGTAAGGATTGGATGCAAGAGGAATTCGGTGGTTTAGAGGAGCCCCATAGCTTAATTCCGTAAGTCCGAATAGGCCTTATTATAGTCACCGATATGACTCTTTTGTAATTAATTGGAAGTTTAGAGCGTTTTTCTAGTAAGTGCTGAAGTATTCGGAAAGGTTGAGCGGTTTCTTGTCATTTGAGTCTAGTATTTCAATAGTAAACAGCCTTATTGTAATTTTTATGCAACTCCCACAATTCTTTATATCTTTTTGTATCTTGTTTGTTCTAATCCTGATGAAGACCTACATAGTTGAGTCGAAAAGTTGGCTTGAAATAAAATTACTTTTTCTCTATTTGAAGTCTTTTTATACCTGCCATTCTGAATCATCTTCCTCATTTTTCTAATTCTTTATTTTACTTTATTTATTTATTTTATTTTTGTTTATTGAGAAAAAAAATTAAGCTCTCTATTCTGTTTCATCCTTACTTAAAGTATGTGTTTTGATTTTCAGACGTTTGATAGTGTTGAAAAACTGCATACACGGAAACTGTTTGAAGAATGGGGAAATCATAAAATAAATCTAATGAATTCTCTTTTGGGATATTCAAAAGAAATTGTTGATGTTCCACTTAGACGGGAGGTAAATAATCTTTTTATAAAATATATGAAGAAAATAAAATCAAATGAAAAGATCTGATTTTAATACATAATGTTGTATTAATATCTGTAATTGACACTTTTCTTGAATGAGTATATAAGCATTTAATGTATTTTTTTTATATTTCAGAGAACAGTCTTAAATGAATCATTGTTTGGTATGCAAAGTTCATTAAGCCAAGAAGATATTGCTTATGCTCAGTGTCTTATTGAATATAATAATGCTGATATTCAGCGGATCGAAAAGCCAAATATCTTAAAACAATTTTCACAAACAGCAGAAAAGTTTAATAATCAGGTTTGTTTGTTCTTATAATGTGTTTTATATTTTAACGATGAAACAAAATTGTCGGGAATTTCAGTTAAGATATTTATATTGGGTTAGACGACGTTTTGATCCAAACATGTGGATGTGGGTCATCCTCAGGTCTATCTCTATATACAGCTATTGCCTTGAGAACGACCCTCATGTTTGGGTTGAAATTTCAGCTAACTCAATAAAAATATCTGGACTAAAATTCCTGACAATTTTGTTTCATTCTTATAATTGGATCAGTCGACTATTACACATCTCTAATGTTTTATTTTTATTTTCTAAGGCATTTGATAACAAATAAAGTATTATTATTTGAGAAAGGATAAGTTAATGTAATTGCAGGTTTTTTTCTTTCTGATTAGGATCATAAATAAAATAGAGAACAAAAATCTAAAATTATTTGAAATTACTAACCATACAAATAATGAGTGAACAAAAATTTTAGTTTAGTTATAAAAATTTCATTGATAATTTGGGTTCACTTTGGAAGTTAACGTCTCAATTGATGTCACGTCTTTTGTCTGATGATTCTGTCATTGATGACTTATTCATCATTAGCTCATCCTAAAAATGTTTTGGAAGGATGAGAGCTCTCTTGTCAGTGAGGCACTCTCATTTTCTTATTCTTGACAATGCCAAGGTTAATCTTTACAGATCTTAGATTCCCTTCATCAAATATAAAGTGGTCCTCCAGAAAAACCATTGGTATATAAGTCTTGCGGAATCCTTTTGTTTGACCAGCCCTGATGAAGGCCTGAACTTAGGGCCGAAACGTCAGCATAAATAAATATATTTAATTATTTTTATATATATATATATATATATATTTTTATATATATAATTTATTTTTTTGACTAATCACCCCAACCTTTCTTCTCTTCAGTTATTCTATATAGTCAACCATCAATCTACTATCATTGGTATATAGTTTGCTTTCGATAAAAAAAAAATTATTAGATATGTGTTGATGTTTCATCATTTTTATTTTCATTCATTTTATATTAATCATTATGTTTTGATAGAAAATAAATGAGATGTGGAAAATGCTACGTTTTATGGCTGAACTGAGGCCCTCTGGAGTATTCTGTGATGATGAGGAAGACATATTGGCCGTCAGATCTAGAAAAGTAGCACAGGATGCGATGATACGTCAAGCTCTTGCTTATCTTGAGCAAAGGTACTTTAATACAGAATTTATTTATGTATTTTAAACAATTTTTCATTATTTCTAATCTGTCTTTTTTTTCTCTTGTTTGTTGTAGATATAAAGAATACATGACTAGTGCTGTCGCATATAATAGAAATACTGCTAGGATTGGAGGAATCCCTGGAACATTTCCATTAGTTAGTGGGTATGTAAAGGATATTAATTTTAATAGTATTTTTATCATAAATCATATTTTTGGTTCATTATTTTCAATAATCGACTAAGAAACAAAAAAGTTAACCCCCCCCCCCATAAAATTTGACCTTTCACATTTCATGATACGTAGAATCATCTAAATAAGGGATAAAAAAAAATCTGTCTGGTATGGGATTTTTCTCTGAGACTATCGGACCGATTGTTTTGGGATTTGGTATCAATGTTGAAGGGCACTTGAGGATGATCCTAATCTATGAGGTTGTAATCATGGGTTGTTAATAATAATCTTACATTCAAAACTAAAATAGCTGTAACTTCTTTAATAGTTGCCTGAAATGAACAGTTTTTATATAGTTTTGTAAGTAATGTAGGGGAAATATACTTTTCACAAAAATTGTTTAATGTAGGTCAGGAAAAACCGACCAATGGCTGAAAATGTGTTTTTCGGACTCAGAGGGCTCTGAAATGTAAAGATCCCTTAAAAACCACACATCGGAAATTGGTATCGATTGCAATACATTCCTTACCTAATAGAGGTAAGAAAGTAACAAATTAAAACATGTGTAGAAAATAGAATACGCTGTATTGTTGCTAATACTGATTCGATTCCGTCAATTTTTTTTGTTTTGTAAGTAATTTAATTACCTTTCAAAAGATTTTATATAAATTTTATCATAGAAATTTATCCAAAACATATTTCTTTTCTTTATGACTTTTTTCCTGAATTTTCTCAGGAATTCAGTTAAGAAGAGAATTTATAAATAACAATTAATTTATAAATAATTGACAGAGAATTTATAAATAACTTGGTTACGATGAGGGTGTCTTTGAATCATAAATGGCCTACCTCATTCAAGTAACTTGTGGGTGTAAAAAAATTACATAAAAAATAAAAATTATGGCCGAAAATGAAAAATTGGTGAAAAACAAAGAAAACGTCTATAAACAGCGGATACATGATAACAAATTAAGTGTTTTAAGTTTGAAAACCAATGTTAAAAACGATATCTTAAACATATTGACTGAGTGGATGGGATAAAAAGACCTCTTTTTTTGAGGTTTATGGCTGCTCTACCCTTTTTCTTTCTTTCTTTTTTTTTCCCTACCTAGCCAATTCTGGAATATGTCAGTTCAATAATTGAAATGACATTAATTAGAAAATTATAGGAAAATTTTATCAAAGTAGTTAGAGCTGTTTTTGTGCTACAGTTTATAGAAAAATATGTTTTTCACTTATTGCGCAGGGAGCACTCAAATTGTGTTACAGGCATCAGTAGTCAAAACCATACCAAAAAAAAAAAAAAAGAAGTTACAAAATTGGTCAACTAGTTCCTGAAATAATCTTGGGCACAACCAGGCAGAGCAATGGTTAAAAATGTATGTTTTGGACTCAAGGGCTCTGAAACGTAAAGATCCATTGAAAACTGTACATTGGAAATTTGACCTGATTGCAATACTTCGCTTACCTACTAGAGATAATAAAGTAAGAATTATTACTCATAACTTTGTAATTTTTATTTTACAGATTTGTTAGAATAAAAGTTAGAAACGAACCTGGCCTCGATGAAACTACAAAGGATGGTATTCCGTTGTGGCCTTTGGTGTATTATTGCCTTCGATGTGGAGATATACCAGCAGCTATACAAGCTCTTGAACAGTCTGGGTTAGTTAAAACTTTGAGTTAAATTTTTATAAGATATTTTAATAACTTACAAAATATTTACATTTTATTTATTTTTACAGTAAGCCAAAGAATGAGATGATAAGTGCACTTTCTGATCTCTTGGAGTCTCCGAGTAGACATCTTTCCTTGGAAAAAGAGAAAGAAGTTAAAGATATCTATAGAAGGGTGGTCCGTTCTTCTCCTGATCCATATAAAAGGTGCTTTTTTATATTTTATTTTCGGTTTATATAATACTAAAGTTATCGGTCGTGGCTTCGCTCACTCCATAAAGCAATTTTGATAATTTGAATTAATAATTTATGTATTATTTTTTTTTTAACCAATCCCTAGAATTTCAGAAATGTATTGTAAAAAAAAAATTTATTTATAGGGGTTGTGAGTAAGTTATATTTTGAATTGTATGTTTAAAATTAATGGTTTTTACATTTGCAGTTAGTAACGCAGCGATCAACAAAGCAAAAGTAAAATATAAATAAATGAAATGATAAAATATGTTTATTATTTCATGACAGAGTTCCTTTAGAACAAATTAAAGATTACACAATCATCAAAACAGTGTGGCTATACTGTTTTTATAGTTCAATATAATTAGTTAATATAATGAATTTCGCACTTTGTCGAATTGAAATATTCTCATATATTAAGTTCCTTTTCAGAGCTGTCTATTGTATTCTTGGATCTTGTGACATCCACGATGATCACAGGCAGATCGCTACAACTGCCGATGACTATTTATGGATTAAGCTTTGGCAGCTGAGGGAAGAGGAACCGGAACCGATGCACGACTCGATTCATTATTCTCTACTGCAAAGTTTAGTCCTGGAGGAATATGGTAATTTAAAAAATATATCTATTTAATAAATTGCTTTTTCTACAGTATTTCTAGAATCAAACAATTAGGTTTCAAAAATACTATAATAAAAATTAATCACTTGCAACTTTGACTGAAAATTTGTAAATAGCTTCATCTCATCGTAACCTACAACTATTTTAGCTACAAAAAAAAATTGTCTCAAACATTTTTAATATTTCGAAGGTCGCACCGGATTTGAGAGATCCGTCAAGCAGTCTATATGATGTGTTTTTATATCGCTTGGGAGAAGATCCTCCCTCCACCTATTCTCCTGGTTCTTGGAGTCATACAATCCAGTAGTAGGGTGATCTGTGTTGTGTCCAATTTCAAAACTTGAAGATTGATGGCATATATGGAAATTTTTCGTGAGAAAGGGATGCAATGAAGACCAATGTAATTGAAATCAAAGCCTTTATTGGACCGTTATATATTGCAGAAATGCATTAAGCCTGGGGAAAATATCTGGATGATTTGTGGAACTCAAGTAGCACAATTTATTCCAAGTTTGGAATCGAAATATTTCGTCCCGCTACGAGCGTATGAAGGTTTCGATTTTTACTTTGATCCCTAAGATTTGACTACTGAGAAACACGTCAACAACATAAAGAAATAGACTGACTAAGACCTATCCAGGACATATTTGTAGTCAGAAACTACCAATCTTGTTATTCAGTTTCTTACTGACAGACGTGACTTTTTTTTTTTTTACTGTCTCTTCCTTGCCTTTTAGGCTACGTGGGGTTTTTCCCAGGCTGGGGGAGAGAGCGGGGAATCATGCTGAGTTAAAATTCCCACTGGGCACCGGGATGTGAACTCATAATTATTTTTCTATCTGAACTTCGGTTATCTGGTTGCTGGGCAATTCGCCCCTATAGCAGACGTGACTATCGATGAGAAACTAGAGGTCTTTAGAGGCTGATGTTCATGTTGTGATAATGTTTTTATTAATTATTTTTGTATCCAATTTGATTCAATTATAATTGTTCGTAGTATTCAGTGAAATTTTTGATCGTATTTAATTTACAGAATTTAATGTTCAAGTTCCTAATTTTGTCAATTTATTTTTCGTTTTGATTTTTAAACTATATAACTGTGTTTTACTCAATAAATATATTGAAAAACTCGTCTCATATCTTTTCCTTTTATTATAATGAGATATTTGTTGGTATTTTTGGTCAATAAATTGATTTAGTGAAGTGGATCTCACAGATCCGTAGTTACCTTCTATGTGACTCTTAGGCTAGCGACCTTTGGAGTGCTAAAGAAAGAGAAAACATTTTTTATGAAGTTGAACAATTTTTTTTTTAGGAAATATATAATTATTTTATCAATTGTTGTTATTATTCATTTAGGCGAATCATATTACAAAGCGCAGGAACAGCCCCACGTATTCTTCCAAATGCTGGTTCTGACAGGTCAGTGGGAGTCCGCTATTGATTTCCTCGTCCGATTGGAGAAGTTCAAGGCTCACGGAGTACACATGGCGATAGCACTTTACCATCTTGGACTTCTGGCCCTTCCTAAGTCGATCAATGCTCCCCTTCGTAAGTATACCTACATTAGTTTTTATTTGTACTATTTATTTAGTTTTTATTTGTACTATGTTTTATTTCCTTAAATTTTATTTGAATTTCATGCTATTGTTATACAAGAAGATTAGTTAGACCTGTTTCATATGAGGTTTAGTTGATTCAACTCAATTGCCCTGTTAAACACAGTTCAACACATCTTTCTGTTAAAAACTTTCTTTTTTACATTTTATGCCATTTGCACCTAGCATATTTGATGTAGTAAGCATTAGCTGCGAGTTTGCTTGATTAACTTAATTTTTTTCATTAGTAGGAGTATGTCCCTTGGCAATTTTCTTTTTAGGCCATAGTTCTTTTTAGTCAATCAGGTAACAGGGAGGAAGAAAGAGACAGAACGAATGGGTTTGAATGATTGAGAGTAGAAGAATGAAATGAAGTATATTTGTGGAGGATGTAGCATTTTACTGTTGGGATATTTAAGTCGTTATTTATAGTGTTATTTGAAATGTTCCAACCAAGGTGCGTTAACAATTTTTCGTAGAATTTTTTATTGTGTTATTTGTATTTGTATTTCTCACATTTCCCGTCAGACAATTTCTACCCTTAAACTATTTCATCGCTTCCGTCATCTTCTACCTCAACATATCCGTAGACTCCTAATTTCCTCTCTCCTCTTCCCCCACTTTGACTACAGCTGTGTGGTGTATGATGGCCTCTCGGTGGAGCTCCGTGATAGACTGAAAAGATTAATGAATAGCTGCGTAAGATTTGTTATTGGTGCCCCGAGGTACTCCCATGTCTCTCACCACTACACTGAGTTAAGGTGGCTCTTCCCCTCCTTCCGAAGACAATACTTTCTAGGTACGTTCCTCTACCAAATCATCAACAACCATCGTCCTTCTTACGCCTACAACCTTCTCCAGTTCAAATCCTCAGTCCATTCCCTGTCCACAAGATCTCGACCTTCTGACCTTTACAAATCCCTCCTATTCCAATTCCTATCACAAAAACAGTCAGATACTTGCTAACCATTCGAGCGGATTTTAATACAGAATTTGATACATTTTTATTTTTTAATTCTTTATTTTTTTCGGAAAAGTGTATACTGGTCTATAAGAGCAAATAGCTTTAAGTTTCTTGTCATAGTATTAATGGTTTTGTATATAGTTTAGTTTGTTTTGTACATAGAATTTTTACCTTATATTTTTTTTACATTATTTCTTTTTTTCGATTGATTTTATTTTGGCCAGATGTAATATTTTAATTTTGTTCTATTTTGTTATTCTCAAGGGACTGTGTCCCAGAATAAAGTTATTTTTCTATTTCTATTTCGATTTCTATTTCTATTATATTTATATGTCTTTATTTTGCCGAATCCCAAAGTTCTGCTCCGCATGTCCAAATTGATCTCAGTATGGTGTTGTAGATCAGTTGCTTGTTTTGTAAGTTAAGTGAGGAGTCCAGAAGATGTGAGAGTTGGTTATATCGTCTAGTCAGTTCTTGTCTATTTAATTTAGTATCCATGTTCCAGGCAAGTCTAAGTAGAGTCTGACTTACCGTACATAGTTTTTTGAAGGCACTGGGTTATTGTCAATCATTGTGGCTGGACATGAGGCTTTCCTAAAATAGAAAGTCACATGGGTGGATTTGCTACTGTTAATTTTAAGTTTCCATTTTTCGAACCAGTTTTAAAGATCATAGAGGTAGCTTTGGTGGGCAGTTGTTGAAAACTTGAATTTGAAATTTTTCACGATCACAACAGATTCCCTTATTACTAGATACCATTAGGTAAGTGAAGGGAATTAATAAATACATTATTAACAATAACATAGATACTAGTTGAATTAACTAAACTACATTGTGTGAAGGCGGTCTTATTCTCATTTATGCTAAATTAATTTACAACACTTTCAGTTTCTTATTATATTTTTTTCAATTAGTGGTCATCGATGAAAGTGATAAACCTCCGATGAGGAGGCTAAATCTTCCCAGGCTAGTGCTCATGTATACACGAGCTTTTGAAAATAGCGATCCTAAGGAAACATTGCATTATTACTACACTCTTAGGTATGTTAAATTTATTTTTAATGTTATATATTTAAAAATTTAATCATATTTTTTATACTTGAGGTTTGTTTGTTATATAATTATTTTTTTTATTTTGTTCTCTAGAAAACTTCCAGCAAATAACGATAGAAATGCTTTTGAAACATGCATTATCAATCATGTTGTTGAAAACAAACAGTATGATCTTATACTAGGCCGCGTTGACCCATATAGTGGTGTTGTACCTGGTCTGTTGTCTATATTTAAAGACAAGGTAAATATTTTTGCTGTTTATCTTATTATTTATTACTTATTATTATAAATAGGCATATTCTATTGAAAATTAATTAATTAGCTATGGTCCTAATATAACTAGTAGTATTATGCCCTTAAAGTGCCAAATATACAATTGCGTACTTGCATGGAAAAAAATGTGTAAATTTGTGTTGCAATATAATTCAATTGCTAAAGAATATATCTAAGATGAAGATTTTACTTTTCATATAACAATTTTTTTTTTATGTTTAATGTTTACCTGAAGTCCGAAATAACAATTCGACAAGGAGGTGTGATAGGGAGCCCATTGTAGTGTGATGTATATGGCTACGAAATACGATACTCTCAAAATTCTCTCAGCTCTATTTTATAAAAGTGCCTCTGTAAAAGCTAATAAAATTGATTTTAAACTAAATATATTTATTCAGAGATTATTATAAACACTTATAAATGAGCACAGCGGTCGTCAAGATAATAATGGTACGCCAACTCACTGATTAGGGCCGCAGCGGGCATATACCCCTACCATTGAGATCCACAACAAGCTTGTTTCAGGAATCGATGCGCAGTTAAAACATTAAATTAACTGTGAAGAAAATATTTATCACTTTAGGTTGGACTTACCTTTGCGTCATCATAAAAATGACTGGAATTTGATTTCATATTGTGTATCGTCTATTTATATGACCTATTTCTATCGGTTTTTAATAGGGAAAAGGGAAGATCATACTTTACAGTACAGGATTCTTACAAAGATAAAAATATGAGGAGTTGATCAGGGGGTACGGTCAAATTAATACTAAATTAAATAATTATACTTATTTAATTTAGTATTAATTTGACCGCACACCCCGATCAACTCCTTCTCATATTATATCAACGGTCAACCATCTCAACATCATTAAAAATAAAAATACATTTTCCCTGAATATGATTGTAAATTAGCAATGGTTGTATATCATGTCTGGGTAAGCATTTTTTTTTACAGTAATACGAATCGTTTTTGTTTAACTTTCCAAAAATAATCTAAACATGACTATATACATGTAAGAAATAACTACCAAGGGTAAAAAAAAGCTAATATCCCTAAGGACATTGTTGGTTGTATACGTCTTTTTTTTAAAAGTATTGTGATTAAATAATTTTTAAAACTTAAAAAATTATATGGTACTTTTTTCAACAGTATATTGTATATGTATAACAGCATACTTTTGAGAGTAAAAACAATTCAGTCAACAGAAAAAGATTCACTAAAATGGCTTTGTTGTTAAAGTGTTAAGAAAAAATGAGAAGATATTTCTTGAATGAAGGTTTTGAAACTGGAAACATTCTAAGCTAATAAGTATAAGATATAGTACCTATATTGTATCTTGTTCTTATTAGTTGCTAATGAGGTGCTGGCAGTCCGTGATCTAACCCTCTTCACTATCATTACGTTGCTTCATCCATACTCCTTTTTTTTTTAATTTTTTTTATCCCTTGGCAAGCATGTAACAGAAAAATTTTGGAACTTTTTATGTTTTTATTATTATAACCTAATTTTCTATAGTAGATACAAATTTAAAATTTGTGCAACTTCCTAATGGGATTTATATTTATTTTGAATTCTCATTGTTTATTTTATTTTTTTATTATAGATTGATTTAAACAAAATAATTCAAAGTATTGCTCAAATAACTGAAAGTAGAGGCTTGTTTGAAGATGCCATAAAATTATACGACCTGTGTGGGGTAAGTAGGTTCGCTATTAATAACATTTTCTTCTCAAGCTAATGATTGTGAACTAATGCATTTTTTTTTTATTTTATAGGACCACAATAAAGTATTGCAGTTGTTGAACCACCAGCTGAGCCAGTACGTGTCCAAATCTGGTATTGATCTTAACTCCCCCAGGAACAGGCTTGTGAAATTAGCTACTGATTTATTTTCTCGTTACGATGGACATGAAATTAATTCTACTCCAGCGACATTGAGCTGCTTTTGTAAAATGAGAGAGCTTATAGAATTCTTCGATTTGTATCACTTGCGAGAATATGAAAAAGCTCTTGATGTACGTATAATTTATTTAATTACTGTAAATGACATTTATTATATTATTATAAGGTTATTTTTTTTTTTTTTTTTAAACCAGTGTAGATATGCTAGTATCCTGGATAATGATTAGTCTGTTTCATTTTGCTTTAAAACAAAAATTTAATTGGTTCGAATGCGAATCAGACATTATCTTTTTACACACGTATACCTTCTCAGGTCTAGATGCGCCCATCGGCCTCAAATGTGACAACACACCTCAGACAGTTAAACACTTATTACTAGAGCATCCCCAATACAAAAAAAAAAAAAGGCAAAAATTAAAGTCGTCCACGATATTGAAGGATATTTTGGGAGACAGGGAAGAAGATGTCGTCATTCTCTTCCGATATTTAATTTAAACAAGATATTACAACATAATATAAAAATTAAGAATCACTGCCAATAATCCTCTAGGGTAGAGGCAAATACAAATAAAATAAATAAATTAATTGCTTCATACTTTTCTTATGTGCATTAAATGTTTAAAGGGAGTGGGGTAGCTCAGTGGTAGGGCACTCAGCTTCTAATGCAAAGGTCCCAGGTTCGAACCCCGGCACATGGCAGAAAATTTATTTATCTGTTTCATTGGCCGTGGGGCGACCCTGGGTCGGGAGACCCTCCTGGGGCACACCCAGGCTCTATAAAGTGGGTACCCTTAATTAAATAATTGATTAAGGGGGAAAACCTGGCGGTTGAGCGTGATCTCGGTCAAATCACCTCCTTGCACAACCGTTGACCTAGAAACAGTGCTTTCCCTAAATAGTACTGAACCCCAGACCCTTCATGGGTTGTAGTGGTACAGGTTAAATGTTTAAGAAATTGTATATTTTGTCTTCAAAAGATGTATTTGTTGACTATTGATCATTCCGCAATTCATCAGTCATCTGAATCTTGCTATTAAAAAGGACTTAAATATTTTTTTTTTTGTAATTTGTGGGTTGATAATTCATAATTATAGCCACGATTTATATTTAAAATAAAAAGCAAACTATCTACATTTACAAGTAATTATATTTTCACGAATATGTATCAAACGTAGTCACTGTGGAGGAGAAATGAAGATAAATGTGGTGAAAAATACAGCCGTTATTTATATAATTTCACCTAAAATATAAACATCCTTGTAAATTAATCTGTATTATATATAAAAGTTTTTAGTGACTGTGTCATATTTTATTTTACATATATAAAGTGGGACTGACTGTAATGAAGACACCACACTTCTTATTCCCAGAATTATTCCTCCCTTATTACGGTCAAAAATTGGCAATAAGAATAATTATAATTATATAAATTGGCAATATGGCGCAATATATAATATAGATTTTTAAAGATCAAAATTTGTCCGAACTTAGTTTCGTTCCACTTATGTTGATAAAAAAAGTGATATAATCTGAACTACAGAATACATGTAAATGAACAGTTGTATAATTTTTAAAGTGAGAGTTGGTCTGCCGTTAGACAAGCAGAAGGTACTCTCCTAATATTTAAGAAAATAAAAAATTTACCTGCGGATTAAATGTACTCGTTGAAATATTTATTTGATTTTTATTTTTTTGACATACAGAGAGCTTATTTATTATTTTTTTTTTTTTGTTTGGACAAAATTAAAATTTCCTTGAAAATCAATGTTAAAAAAAATACAATGTATTTAATTAAGCCAGAAACATTTGAATTCTCTCAACTCATTTCTGTTTCAAAATTACACCTAACTGTCACAAATGTTTCCACTTGATCAGAAAGGTTTTTTATTTTTTTTTAACACAACTTAGTATCCATAAAATCTCCGTGTTTTTACTACAAAATAAGTTGGTATTGGTTTTCAGTTTTAACAACTCTTTAAATACTATGTTTTACCACAATTTTTGTGGTTTTCCAATTTATATGAATTATCTTGAATATAGCCTTTAATATGTACAAATATATAAAATAAAAGATGTTTTATTTGTTTTTAAATTGTTTGAACTGGAAAATAAACTGTTAAAGAAGGATGTACAGGGTTTAGAAAAACATATGTGAATATACAGGGTGTTTCAGGGCTAACTGGCCAAACTACAAAAATGAACTAAGTACACCAAAACAGGAAAAAAAAATTTCTCTAATTTTTTCTAACTACTTCATTGATTAAATGTAAACATTAATATTCATATTAAATATTGTTCAAAGTGAAGGTATGTCCTCAAACACTTTAGGAGATGGATTAGATAGAATACTAATATGGCCTTTTATCCCTAACTGTATAAAAACTATTGGCAACATAAGGATTAATACTATTTGGAATTAGCATTGGGAACTCAATAACATTTATCAGTTGTAAGAGGCTTTCGCAGAGTACTCATCATTATGCCTTACATTTATACTAATTGTGAATATGGCGATATGGTGTTTGCAATGGTAATGCTAATGCTGTCCGTTGTGAATATGCCAGGCGATTTCCGAATAGAAGATTAACAAACAAGTCTAACGACAGTTGAAACAATAACACATATGCATTGCCGTTCTGCCACTGCTGCTGTTGAAGAAAAATACCAAGGCTGTCTTAATGCTCAATGAAATCACTTTGAACAATATTTAATGTTTACGTTTAATTAATAAAGTAGTTGGAACAAATAAATAAGTTTTATTTACTTAATATAATGTAAATAATTCATAACAATGAAAATCTTTAGATGTGAATATCTTCTAAACGAAGCGTTTGCGGACACACCTTCAAAGGAAATTTTTTTCTTGTTTTGAGATCCTTAGTTCATATTTTCAGTTTGTTCACTTAACTCTTCTGAAACACCCTGTATATAAATCCGATCTTATTTATATAGCTATTTATTATTAGGAACTTATTTCAAATTTATTTTCATTTTCATTTTAATCACTCACAACAGTTTATTCATTGTTAACATTCCTAATTTAAGACATAATTATCTTTAGGTGATTCAAAGGACTGGACTCATACCAATGATTGCTGATGATGTGGAAAAAACTGTTAGCAACTTTCGACTACTTGATGAGTGCATTTCAAGAAACATTCCTGATATCTTATTAGCAATGATGAATATCTACCATAGCCAATACCAAAAAATGAGGTATGATTGAGTATGTTCTAAGTTGTTATTAAATATGCATACTTATTATTGGTTCTGTATGCATGTAAAAATCTTTTATATTCCTTCTATTTACTCATAATTTAGGTGTTATTTAATATCTGTGGGAAAAGACCTTAGTTAAAACATCTAAGACATATTTTTTATTTAAATTTATTTTACTATTTTATAAACTACTATTTATTAGAAGTTGTCAAATACTTAATAAAGTTAAAGATATTTAGCCTTAATTATTTTCATAGTGGGCGTTCTTCCTATTTTACAAACCCCGTCTAAATAATTAAAATTATTATCTGTTGATTTGATACATCTACTTTATTTTAATGAGTTTTGGTATTTATTAACAGGGTCATTTTTATAAAGATTAAATATGTGATTTGTTTACTTTTTACATTCAAAATATATTTATATCATTTTTTTTTTTAAACAGAGGTAGTGTCAAATCAGGAGCCACTAAACTGGAAGATGTAGCTAAATCAAAGGTAAGCAACTTATATCTTTCTTTTCTATGTAATTATTATATCTTTATTTAATGAAAAATCGAAAAAAAAAAAAGATAGATAAAGAGAGAGAAGTGAGAGGAAGGGAAATTAAATGTTAAAAAAAGGGGGGGGGAAGAAGCATTTACAATGAAAGAAAGAAAAAAAAAATGTATATACATATATCTATTTTACTAATATAAACTAACCACTTCTATATATCTACATATAAGTTCATTTATTGTCCTACAGATTAACGAGTTTGCTGTGTGTATAGCAACCCAATATAATTGGGCAGCAATCTTTTATATTTTATATAAAAATAAAGTGTTTCTCTCTTCTCTTTCCAATTTTCTATTTTATTAGTCTATACAACTTTTCAAACTGTCTCTAAACGAGAAATTATTTTTGGGTGGATCGTAATTTCGAGTTACCTGGATAATCATCAGGCGATCCCGGTAGTCGCGGACTGCTTATTGTGTCGATTTTTATGAATTTAAAATGAATTCTTGGAGAGAAATTGTGTATGTTAAATGATTTTAAAATAAACTTTATATCTTTGCCGAACCTGGACGCAATCATATTTGTAATTTCACTAACTGTGTATTAATATTGACAAAACGATGAAAATTTTTATTTGGAGAACTATTTATTGGAAAAAAGATATTAGAAGATTTCTTTCGTTGTTATCATTTCCTAATTAACGTTTTGCTGTACTTGTCAGCGACGCGGCCTCTATGGACTGCTATCTGCAGTTATCTTGTTATTTAAAGTGTTATTGTTGTTATTTATATTTCTTATCATTAAATTACTATATTATTATTATATTTATATTTCTTATTAATTACATATATGTGTATGTATTTATATATATTAATAAGAAACAGGCAAAAAAGAGGCAACACCAAATATATTTATATTTCTTATTATACGAGAGTCTAATTTCATATGAAGATAGGGATTATCAGTTCCTTATTGCAATTATCAGTGTTGAGGTTATAAACATTTAATAATAAGAAATATAAATAACAACAACAACACTTTTAATAACAAGATAACTGCAGATAGCAGTCCATAGAGCCCGCGTCGCTCACAAGTATCCTTTTTGTCAAAAATGGTCTTTTTGGCAGTCTTCAAAGAAAACTGCTCATACATTGTTGATAAAATAATGTAGGGATTAGAAAAGTGAAAAATAAGACATTTCAATGAGTTTTATTTTAAATATTCATTATATATATTGCAATTACATAATGTGTTTTTATTTGTTTGTTTTTTAGCAACTTAGCTTTATTCGGGAAAGAGCTCGCCTCCTCACTAGCTTCGCCGGAACGATCCCCTACAGGATGCCTGGGGACACTAACAGCCGCCTCGTACATCTTGAAATCATGATGACTTGATCATTCAATCGCCAAAACCAACATCATGAATTTTAAACCAACTTTTGTAAATTTCTTAACTGTTAATATTTTTATTAAAATTGTATTTATAACATGTTAATAAAAGATTTTTTGGAGTATTTATTTGAGCTGTCCATAAAAGAAAATACATCTTCTTGATTTTGTAATTTCTTTCGCTTGGTGAAATCTTGAACAGCTGATAGTTAAGATTGTTGTCAGCACCCACTGGTATCATTTAAACAAACTTCTATTCTTCAGAGGAAATAAAAATTTGGTGATTTCTGAAAATAAATAATCAAGTAAATATTGTAACTGGCTCAGAAGTAATCAGAGAAAAAGTAAGAGACATTAATTGAACATCAGCTACGATAATGTTAATTTTATTTCATACATATTCTTGTCACTCACAAAGACAAAAATACTCAATAACTAAATTAATAGGGTGTACAAAAAAAAAAAAAAAAGACTTTTTCAACCAAATATTTGTATCTTTATTTCTTTGATATAAAATATAATTAATTCTGTTAATTTTTCCTAATTTTGGTGTCTTTAAGTTTTTTTATTTGTTACTCTAAATTAGGCCATTTTTCACCAACATTTTATTATTACGCATCAATTTAACGTGTCGACCATACTAAGGGTCATTTTCAAAACTTGATGAGTCCTCCTAATATGTTCATCCTTAATGTTCTAATTAATAAGTTCAGTGAACATTAACTTGTCAATTTTTATAGGGGCTTCGCCCACGTCATTTCTGGAGGGACTATAAAAATTGACAAGTTAATGTTCACTGAACTTATTAATTAGAACATTAAGGATGAACATATTAGGAGGACTCATCAAGTTTTGAAAATGACCCTTAGTATGGTCGAAACGTTTAAATTGATGCGTAATAATAAAATGTTGGTGAAAAATGGCCTAATTTATTGTAACAAATAAAAAAATATAATTAATAGTCAAAGTATAGTCCATTGTTATCTTCCGTCATTAGCCATCTGCTAGCCAATTGCTCGATCTCAAGCTGATATCATTCTTTGGGATGACTGTCAAAGAACTCTTGGACCGCAATTTCAACACCCGCAAAATTATCAAATTTTTTTCCTTGAAGAAAATAGGCCATGGATCTAAATTAGTAGTAATCTCATGGTGTAAAGTCTGGACTATATGGTGGATGAGGCAGGAGTTCGACCCCATGAAGTTTAAATTTTCTTTTGTTCGACGAGAAGTGTGAGGACGAGTATTATTTTGTTGGAATAAAATTCTTTTTCGGTTGATCAAAGCAGGATAACGCTCTGACAACTGTGTGTACAATCTTTCCAGTTGTCTTCCAGGAACAAATTCGTGATGAATAACAACTTCAAAATTAAAAAAAACGCGAAGCATTTATTTTGTTTTCAAATTGCTCCCACGCAGCAACCAGAAAAGTTGTTGGCCGTGATCTAGCCATTGCTCACGGGTATTCAATAAACCCACTTTTCATCACAGGTGACGATTTTCCGATAAAATCTCATATCTGAAGGGTTTTCAGAAATTTCTAACCTCTTAGCTGATTGCTGAGGAGTAAGTTCGTGAGGGACCAGTCTACTGCTATTTTTCACCTTCCTCATGGAGAGTAGATGGCGATTAACATATGTATCTTCCGACACACCACACTCGTCCATGTTCGTGAGTACTTTTGGATTTGACTCAACAGCTTCCTGCAGAATCTCATCATTATCCATTGTACTGAGATAAGTCAATTCGTTCATATAAATTAGATGGCAGTATAGAACTGACAAATGGAGGCGAACACTTTTTTGGTTATTAAACTGAATTAATTAAGATGGACTTATAATAAGAATAAAAATTGGCACAGAACCATTCATAATTTAGCTAGAAGTCTGTTATTAATATAATTTTACAGCATTTCAAATTCTCTTTCCTGTACAGCATTAAATAGGTTAATATAAGAATTTTTTTTTTTCTAAATATAATTTCAATTTTCTCTGAAAGTACATGCTTTAAAATGTTCAATTTATAATATAGAATAGATAGTGTTGTAGTAAATCATATTGGAAAATAAAAATGTGGGATGACATTGGCTTCGTTGCTAATTGAATATTCAATTTTCATAAATGTCACTCTTTATTAATCAAATTATTATAATTGTGCTAATATTTACATTTCTTTGAAAGCAAACATGAAAACTTACCAGAAAAAAACTTCAATTAGATAAATATAAAGTTATTTTTATTATATCAAGTAACAGAATCTGTTCATCATGGTAGGCAGCAGTATGTGAGCTGTCTACTAATTCTTGAAAATTCGCATTTATGAATGAAACCATAGTCATCCCTCATTTAATAATTTTCTCTATGATTTACTACAACATTATCTATTAATAAAATAAAATTGAAATTTGAAATTAGATTTTGAAAAAAATGTTCTTATATTAATCTATACAAAGTTTTATGTCATAGGAAAGGGAATTTAAAATGCTGTAAGATGAAACCAATCCCAGACCTCTAGCCATATGAAAGGATACACAGAAATTTTTAATCTTGTTATTTTCTTTTTTTTACTCCATTTTTCAGTTCTTTACAGTTATCTAATTAAAAAACTATAGACTAGTCTCATCAAAATTTCATATTTTTCCTAGTATCTACATATAGTACATTTTTTATTCCAAGAAAATCTGAGACATTGAGGTTCAGAATTTGTGTTGGATTGACATGGAATAGACCCTACTGATTTGAGGGAATTGAGCAGCCTTATTGTGTTGCCACTGCTCAGCGTTCAAAAGTATGCTCCAAAGTCCAAAGCAGTTCATAATTTGTCAGAAGGAGGACCATCCTCGGGTGCCTTCTAATTTTAAACCCAAATTTGAAAAAAAATTGGTGCAGTATTTCGGAGAAAATGCATGGACGGACAAAAAATTTGTATTCGTTTTTCGAATTCTGCATATGCTGAAACTGTTAAGTTTTTGAATTTTTTGTTTGATTACAATGGTTCATTAATGAAAATAATAAACCCAATGAGAAACAACAAAATTGTTCCTCTTGTTTGAGAAATGATTGTGATAGATAGACCAATGTCTGAACATCCATTTTTAAGACTTGTGTGGCTCTGAAACTTGAAGACATGTTGAAAATTGCACATAAAAAATTTGACTGGTATTAACAATATTAGATTGATTCTTAAAAAGTTATTTTTCTATACCTTTCACTTATCGCTAACTAAGAATCTGGATATCTTTTCTAAAATATAAGCAGCAAAAGATCCTGCTTCTATAGAGATGACCATTATGAATCTTCGAGTGAAATGGCTTTGACACAAATACATTGTGAAAAATCAACTGTTTTACCATCCTTTTCCTGAAATAAATTAAATTTAAATCATAAATATTCAACGGTTTATAATAGTATAATATTGAGGAAAGAGATAGTCGAGGAAGATGGTCATAAAAAAAACTTAAAATATTGAAAACCTATTTTATATTAATCCGTTTCGGCCCAACTATGCAAGTCTTCATCATGAGTAGAAGAAACAAGATACAAAGAATATAGAAAATTGTAGGAATTATAAGATATTCAGATAAAAAATTAAGAAAATTATGAACAGTGTGAATAGAAAGTAAATAAACACATTAAGAACAAGAAAATATAAAGAGAGTAAATGAAATATTAAGAACATTCAAATATAAAACTAGGTAACCAGAAACTAAAATAAAGTAAATAAAATTGGTAATAATAAAAGTAGATAAAAAAAAAAATTAATATAATAAATAGGATGGATGATATATGAAAAATTTTAAGGAAAGATTAAAACGAAAGGGGATAAATTAAAAAGTATGAAGTCCTGTAATGTTGGATTGAAATAAATTATTTTTTCAGTATCTTATGTTATTTTTATTATAACCATCCTGGACGTATCTTTTTCCTCTAAATTTAAATTAATGTATCCAGAATGACTTAAAAATTAATGTATTAATCCAGAAGTTCATAAACTTGTAAAATGTTGAGATCCATGGTTAAGTTTTTATTTTAATGTAACCCACTTACTAGAGATAAGTTTTTTTATTTCTCCTTACGGTAAATATTGATTAACTGATGTAAAAAATTAAAATTCTGATGATGTAATTATTAAAAAAAAGTATTGCAAATTCAGAATAAAAGGACCACAAATCAAAAAATTGTATTTTTAGAAAACTGTGATTAAAGTTTTACTATTCATAAATTATTTTTAGATTTTCTTACATTTTTATAGCACAGTATCATTTCTTTGAAGGCTACAAAATCTGAAAGGGTATAAAGTACTTCAAAAACTTCACCATCTAAAGAATCTCTTCTTTTGCTGTGGACATAAAAAATAAATTTCATTACAACAAAATTAACCAATATCAATAAAATTTCAGAAAAAATTGCATACTTCAATTCTTCATAAAACTCTTCTAAATCAAATCCAATCATTTCTTTTTTTAATCTCTGTTCAATGTAGTTCTCCATGACAGACACCTGTAATGTCGAATAACGTTGTTCGTGACTAATTTTAAATATAAACACCAGCCAGAACTATCATTTTATTGTGTCTTAAAATTGCTTACATATTCTTCAAAGACAGAAGTATAGCTTAATTTGTTTTCTTCCGTTTCATCAAATTCCTCACAGTGTTTTTCCAAAATACATTTTTGTAATTTCAAAAATTCTTCATCTACATTTTACAAAGAACACAAAAATGGTCCTTTATTAAAAAATTAAAACAATCTCATGATACAAAAGATGAGCATAACTTAAGAAGCTCATTTTTAGATAATAAAAATGTTGTTTTATGCCAATTTCGCCTGAATAACCGTATATGCTACATTTTTCCACTACACATTTTTTACGAAAACAAATCCAAAGACGAAACAATATATGAGCTTTTCGATTGACAGAATGACTAACTCCAGTCTCAACATTTTTGAGCAATGTCATTATAGCGATATTTCTAATTGGAAAATTTATAATATTCGTTCAGATAGTAAGTTGATTCCAGAATAGGTTATTGCAATGTTGAAATATAGAACTGTGAATAAAAGTATAGATTTTCTCACTAAAATTAATTATCAAAAATGTTGAAATTGAAGTTAGTCAGTCTGTCAACTGACTCATATAAAGGTAATACATTGTATAGTATAAAAGTATTACAATATCTCGAAAATGTCCAAAATAAGGCAACATCACTATTAATTAATAAAAATTTGATATAACTAAATTAAAATTGTTATGGTTAGTAAAGTGTTTTACTACTATTCTTGGATTTAAAAAAAGGGTTCTATTCATTAATAAACATTTTTATATAACATATAAATAAAATAAAAAAAAACACTATTATATTTTATTCTTCCTTGAAAAGATCCCACTATTAGATCAATTACTACTCAATGACTTTAAACAGCAATTCAATTTTTAAAAAAACGGTAATTATTTAGATAAGGACTGCATAAGTTACATGTGGTTCAAAATAACTTTAGTCACACTTGTTCATGAAACGCCGAAAACAGTCTTTCCGATAAATCCGGATGAATTCAGCACTCCATGAACAAGTGCGACCAAAATGATTGTGAATAATACGTAACCTGCACGGTCCTCATCTAAATAATTACCACAAAAAAATGAATTTAATGAAGTCTCCTTAAGTCTAAAAAGCTTCTTTGAATATCGGATAATCTGAGCAGTTATTCACACTGAAATGTATTAGTACATACCTTTTAGAGAGTCAGTGAGAAAATATTTTGACACAACTAAGTTGATGGTAAATATTAAGCTAACACTAGAAGGATAGATATATATATTCATAAAGATAATTATAAATGAGGACTAATTAAAAAATCAGTATTTTTTTCGGATTTCAATTTCATTTAGAAGTTTTTAAAAAATAACAGCCATAATAACATTCAACATTCTCTGAGTTTCAACCAAATATTTAAAGATGAAACTGTTAGCTTCTATAAAATGCTAACTGTAAGTGATAAATGGATAAGATTCAAAGGAAAGATTAATCATTAATTATATTAATAATTAATCCATTTAATATTATAAGACATATAGTTCTGCTTGTAGACAATATCTCGTATAATATTTCTAATTAATTGGGAGTGGGGTATCTCAGTGGTAGGGCACTGAGCTTCCAATGTAAAGGTCCCAGGTTCGAACCCTGGCTCATGGCAGAAAATTTATTTATCTGTTTCATTGGCCGTGGGGCGACCCTGGGTAGGGGGACCCTCCTGGGGCACACCCAGCCTCTATAAAGTGGACACCCTTAATTAAATAATTAATTAAGGGGGAAAACCTAGTGGTTGAGCGTGATCTCGGTCAAATCACCTTCTTGCACAACCATTGACCTAGAAACAGTGCTTTCCCTAAATAGTACTGAACCCCTAGACCCTTCATGGGTTGTAGTGGTACAGGTTTTTTTTTTTTTTTTTTTTTTTTTTTTTTAATGAAGGATCCAAGTCTTATAAATAACTGAATTTTAACAGAAACAATACAAAAAACTTAAAATATAATATAGAATTAAAAATATAACAAACTTTGTCTCAGTTTTTAAAATATCATTTTGAATTCTAGAACTTTCGGTAAAGTATTTGGCAACAGTTTCTACAATATTTATACAACATACTTAAACAAGTATTTCTTTAAAAAAATAAAAAAAATAAATATGGACATGTATTTTGACAAGTCATTGTTTTACAATGAAAAGCAAAAATGTATATAATAAATCTGAATAATACGAATGAAATCGAATACTAAGCATTAATACAATACACAACTATTAAAAACACTCCTTAATATATGATGCAACATAAATCATTCCTACAATGAAAAATGTCTAATTTGTGAGTTGTTTTAATTTTAATTAGGATTCCCAACACTGTCATCACCACCTATGCCGATGACACGTGTATCCTATCAGTTAATAATGATCCATCTATTGCATCCCAAACTCTTTAATCACACATCACAAGTCTTGAAAAATGGTGTCAAAACTGGAGGATTAAAATAAATTCTAATAAATCCCATCAAATTACCTTCATTCTTCATCGTAAACCTATGACTTCCTGTCCTACAGTATCCTTCAATAATAGCCCTCTTATCCCTGTCGAACAAATCCAATACTTAGGACTCCACCTTGACAAACGACTCACTTGGAACCCCCATACCAGACTGAAATGACTAGAAACCGCCAGACGTTTTCGACTACTGCAGCACTTACTAGACAAACGCTCTAAGCTTTCAATAAATTACAAACGACTCATATATATGACAATAATAAGACCCATTTGAACTTACGGAATTGAGCTTTGGGGCTCCACTAAACCATCTAATTCCTCTCGTATCCAATCCTTACAATCCAAAATCCTCAAAGCTCCTTACTTTGTCACAAATAAAATCATCCATAAAGACCTTAATGTTCCATATGTTTCCGATTTGGCAAAATCCAGATACCTATCCTTCCATCACAAACAGCAGAACCATTCGAATCCTCTCGTTTCAAACCATGCTTCCTCCTCAATCCCTGATAACCCTCCGAGGTGTCTGAAAAGAAGATGGCCTCGGAACCTTCTAATATAGAACTTTAATTTGAGTTCTACCAATGGGTAGTTTCTCTTCATGTTGTACATGTCATGTTACCAATGTCACATTTACTTATTGTATTTTCTATGTAATACAGTTGTAAATTTCATTAAAAAAAAAAAAAAAAATTAGGATTCGATGCACAAATCAGTCAACACAAAATATGAAAGTAACATTGGATCACTCAATTTAATTACGTATACTAGTATTTTGAATTTATAGTACCAACACCAGTAGAAATTAAAAGATGCCTTTACTTAAGTGTTTCATTAATACTTAAACTGGAAACTATACTTCAATAGTTACACCTCTAAATTCTCTTAAAAGCTATTACTTCATTGATGATTAATTTAATTTTAAAAATAGAGTCGAGTGGCCCTTATGTACATTTATAAAATAATCAAACAAATATTCAGAAATGATACTTTGAAGTTTACAAGTAAGGAGAAACATTTATGAAAATTGTTTATACAGTTAAGATTAATTTAAAAATAAAATGAACCGCTGTTGTATATTTTTACCTATTAAAATGTCTTCTATATGACCAACTATGACATCAAAGGTTGATAAAGGGCTGGCATTCTCGTCTGGGCTGAGTTCATCTTTGTTTTTTGTTTCTGATTAAAATATGATATTTACTAAATTATTTGAATTTTAGTCAAAAAAATTAAATTCATTAAAAATATTTTATGAAATATCATTTTTATAATATTAAAAGTTAATGCCTTAAATACCTTTGTTATTTTGAAAACTGACATATCTTTTCATTTTAAATTAAAAACTGTTCAGAACCAGCCCTTATCCATTCGGAGTTCATAAAACAATAGTTCCGTATCCTAGCAATAATCCAATGACAGTTTAATCTATAGTATTGTGATATCAAATCTTATAATTTTCGTCAAAGATTAAAATTAACCGTTATTAGTAGATGTAAATAATTTAAATTTAATTATTTATTTAATTGTTTGATTAATTATTTTTATTTATTTGGTAACTATTCGGTATTTTGATAATTATATAGGTAGTCGTAAATGTTAGAAAAAAAAGGAAATGCACTATTTAGAATTAATAACATTAATTGGAAATAGAGAAAATAGGTGTTTAATCTCGATTTTCGTAAGTTAATTTGAACCGAATAAATATATATCTTCTTTCAGGTAAAATAAAGAAATAGTGACTTTAAAAAACTAAAAAAAAAGTTATTTAAATGGAAGTCGTTTAAAAGGAACTATTTAGTTTTTAAATGCCGTCTGGAAACATATGGCAGTTACTACCCATGTTGCCCGCCGGTTTCTCAACATTTTAACCTTAACATTTGGATGTTAAAATTTCTTATATCCAATTTATTCAGTTAATGTTATATGAATGTGCTTAATTTTGATTCTGTGTTGTGAATAAATATTTATGAACCTTTGGTTTCATTAATTATATCAATTGATGTTTTATTTAAGGACGTTTTATAAGTACAAGAACTTTTTTAAATCCTCTATAAGTCAACCTTATTTTGAACTTTTAAGTGATTGGGTCGTAAGTGGACAAGGAAATTATAAATTTTCATTCAATAAAATAATTGTTCCTTCATTAATTGAAAAATTGACAATGGCACTTCCAAATGTTTCAAACCCTCTTAATTTAGAATCACAGATAGATAAAAATGAAACATTGTCACATATTACTCAAGGGGTTCAATGCGATTTCACCTCAACTGAAGAATCAATGTTTGTTGTGAAAAATTATTATTCTGATCCTGAATTTGTAAGGGAGGAAGAAGACGACATCCCACCTTCCAAGAAGAAATCTAAGGTTCGTAAAGTCTACATAAAGAAAACTGATGTTAAACCGGAGACTGATATTGAGGAGAAAGTTGGTGATACAGAAGCTGAATCAGCACCAGCTAAAGAGGTTCTTGGAGAAAATAAGGTAAAGTGATAATTTTTAATTATTTATTTGTCTTGTAGCTAGTTTTAATAAAATCATGTGGACATTTTAACTATTGAAGTGTAACATGAGCTCAAACGATCAAGTGTTAAGATCTGCGATTACTGTTATTTTTGATGTATTCTAAAAAGCAGGCTACCTGTGAAACTAATTTATAATAATTGCTATGTCAGATCTCAGGACATTTGTTTTTCACATTTTAATACACTTTGGGTGTCAAAACAGCCCTAGTTTATGGTGTTTTTTGCCTTTCAGTATACTAAAATTTGTTTTCGTAACTCAGTTGTCACTATTATCAGTTTTATATAAGATTGTTGTTAGTGTCTTGAGTTGTTTTTTTAATGATCATTGTTTAAACATTGAACGATAACATAATGTGCTATATCAGTTAAGAATCAGTATTAAGCCAGTTCGAATTAAGTGCTCAAGTCATAATTACCTTGCATCATCTATATTATTGTACAAATTAAGCCTTTATCAGTTTTTCTATATGTTATGGTATACAGCTGAAAGTCAATCAGGAATGTTATTTAATTAAATAGTTAGTTTATAATGGTTTTTTATTTATGATTTTTATCATTAGTGATCAGTATGCTGTTGCAACTTGGACCCAAACCAAATAAAATACTAAGAACATGTTAAAGTGCCTCAGGACCGGTGGCAGTGCTGTTATCTATTGTAGCGCTTTTGAATTATGTCTTTACACTCGTAATGAGAGATCTATGTGCAATATAAATTTTTTTTTTTCGTTAGATCCAAGTAGCCTCCTACTGTGCCATACAGCCCAATTTTGTTAATTTTATTTCTTAAAAAATATTTTTGATAAAATACATTACATTAAATTATTTAGATAAAATAGCAAAACTTATTTTTCTATATAATTCCTAAAACCATAAATATATAATACATTTATTATAACAATACTTTTTATTTATATATTTTTTAATATAATTTATTTATTTAATGGTCTCAAACTAACATCAAGTATGACATTTTCGAGTCTTATCTCCGTAAACAGACAGCATTTTTTTTTTTCTTAATTTAGTCATCCTATTTAGTAAATTATATTTAATCTGTCTAATAATCCATGATCAAATGTTATAAATTTGTTTTAGAATTCTTTAATAATTTAATTTATACATATATAGGGTTCATCTTGTTAGCATCTATCTCTCTGAAAGTAGTTGAAGCAAAGTTAGAAAATTATGAATAATATAATAACAGTAACAGAAAACTATGAAATAATAAAAATGGTAACAAAGTTAGGGACTAATGAAATAAACATAATGAATGAAATAAGGTAAGATAAGAAATGGAAAATGAATTAACAATGAAATGTAATGGAATATACAAGATGAAAAACTAAGCGTAGACATAAAATAAATGGGGTGACGTAGTTGCTAAATGTCTTCTTATGCTAAAAGTGAGTGAGATAATCATGGAATAAAATGTAAAACAGAGAAAAAGAATATGAAGTTATATAAAGAAAATAATAGATGTAAATAGAATAATTAAGATACTATAAAAACTATCAAAACATACTGACTTCATATAAGAGAATTAAAATAATGTGAATAATGAAAATAAGATGTGATGAGCAAATAATATAAACAAAATAGAGGTGGGGATATGGAAAATAAATATAAAGTGTCATTTTTGATAGATTTAATTTACAAAAGAACTAAGAATATCTAAACATTTGAAAAATAAAAAGGAAAAAAAACAACTTCTTTTTAGTTGAAATTTAATTGAACTCTCACATTGAATAGCTATCCTTTTTCCTCAATGCATTTTGACATGAGCAAAATATATTTATTCGTATACAGAAAATAATGTTTTCAAGATAATCTATTCAACACAGATAATCAGTGAAACCTCAAACTTTATCGTGACTGGTGAAGTAACTGTTTACTTAGTAAGTGATAAGGTTGTCTTGCTGGAAAATATCCCTTCAGTTCAATAGTTAGGCAATAAGGCATCGCATCCCTCTTACTTATACTGGTCCATTATTGTACTCGCTCAAGATATATTTGTTTGCTACAGAAGAGCCTCAGTTTGTAATTTCCTCACTTATTAAGAGTATAGAAGTCTATTACTGAGAGTATAGAAGTCGTATCTAGTTATTTTTTTATTTATTCAAAATATGAAAAACTAGTTGGCCCATGCAGAAAATTTTGTTTAGTGAAGAAATAGTAAAACAATATGGAAATAAGTAGTTCCTATGTATTATGTAAGGAAGGAATTAATATTTTTTCCTTGGTCGATTACAATATTCCATTAAATATAATAGACCAAAATATTTATACAAATTGCTTTGCTAGGACCTATTTTTAGACACTGACTGGAAAGATAATAAAAGTATAAAGACAAAATAATAGCCCGATCATAGGATATTCTAAATTATTAAAAAAATAAAATGTAAGAACAACCAAATGTCTTTAAGAAATAATAAAGTTAATATAAAAGCCAGGAAAAAAAAAATGTAGTAGACTATTCTACTCCTAAATGCAATATCTTTAAACAGGAAGACATGATTAAGTATACTGAAACTAATGGACTGTATCATTTTTAATAATTGTTCAAATTTTACGATTATTTTTTTTTTTTGGTTTGTAGGTAATTTAGTAATCTAACTTTTTGAGTTATTCGCAAATAAAGTTTATTTTCCTCCATAACGTTTTTTCCAGAAATTTCGGGGGGATGGAACTTTTTCGCATATGAAGGAGAAGAATATCTTCAAAATGAGTGGTCAATCATTGCATTTTATGAAGAATTGGCGAAGTTATGGCGTACCGACAGGAACACCTTTTAAAAATAATTATAGGATTTTATTTCTTAATAGACATTAGGTCACAAGCAGAGATGGGCAAATGCTTCTGTGAGTACTGAATGGCAAGTATTTACTCAAATACTGGCCTTTTTCGAGTACTTAAGAATTTAATTACTACTTCATTTGATGTCAAATGATTAACTGAAGTAGTGATTGAATTCCCAATATTGATTCAATTTGAGTAAAATACTTGGTACTCGGTATTCAGAGTAGCGTTAGCCCATCTCTGATCACAGGTCACCAATAAGATACATTTTTATTTTGTATCTTTATTTGCCAACTTTTCGGCTTCTTGAGCCATTTTCAAGAATCTGTAACTTTTTTTTTTTAATTTTTTCACTTTTCTTTAAAATATTTCAATTGTTAAACATTCTGTCACATATATTGTCCTTATTCTATATTATTACTCTATTTAAAATTTTTTAGTATATACCCTAATAATTTGTTATTAATTTTTGTTTCAAATTAATATAAATTACCTACCTATCATGCACCATTTATACATTTTTTTTTCTTTAATATATCATTATGATATATTTTGTCTGGTTATCCATCCTTTTTTTCATGAAATTTCGTTGTGATTTCTTAAAATTTTTATATAAATCATTAAATATAATGTTAAATTTTATTTTTATGAAAAATGAAAATTGATTTCTCTCCCAAAATTAAATGAAAGTAAAAATATCAATTTGTTTAAAGATTCTTGAAAATGGCTCAAGAAGCCGTAATGTTGGCAAATAAAGATAAACAATAAAAACATATGTTATTAGTGACCTGTGGCCTAATATCTATTGAATAATAACATAATACAATCAAACCGAAGTTAAAAAATATGTGTTCTTTTAAAAATAACCTCCTGTTATTAGGAATAAAAAATAACCTCCAGTTAATTTTTATTCCTATTAATTAAATTTGGAGATCCGTGGGGTCAATAATGTCTTATAAAAGGAGATTGTTGACTCCTTAAAATGTTCTTAAATTAAAATAAAACATAACCTCC